TATGTCCTTTTGCATCCTCTTCTCTACTCTCCGGACGAGTCCCCGTAGATGCTCCCCCAACTTTCAGTACACTTTCCGATGTTCGTCGTCTAGCCATCCAAGAATCTCCACCGTTAAGAACACCGTCGAATCCTGAAGTAAAGCCGCCTATTCGGGTACGAGGGGAAGGCAGTGCTCCGTCGCGTGGAGAATTGCCTTGCGTATTAGACAGAGACAGTTTACGAGGTAGTGTAAGTGGTGGTTGATCTTAGCAAAACCTGGATCAGTGTCACAACACAGGTCAGGGACATTCCAGTATTCACCTGTGCTGTCCCTCCTCCTTCCCATAAGACCAAACCCTCTCATAGGGCTCCCTCCTCCGGTATTGGAATGGTTCAACCTAGGTCTATCAGATGGAGATGACAGCGTGCTTATAAGGTCGGTAGACTGGCGTCGCCGAAGTTCGGAATTAAGTGGCCCAGCAAAAAGCTACATGCCTCGTGTGAGCCAATAAGGCCAAAAACATGAACTATAAGTCCAATTTGCCTGACCTTCTTTTCCACATCGCTCATTTCGCGCAATGCTGTGGGTTCACTGCTGACTTCATGTACAATACCCTCCCACCTTTCCACCTCTAATCCCAGACCGCCTCTCCCGCCACCTTCTTTGTAGATTCTGAGCATGGCTTCCTTTGAATATCTGAAAGGACGGCATTCATCACGTTTCTCAGGCTCTGGTGGGGCGGCAGGTGTAACGAGTGCAGAATAAGTTGACGCGTTCGTTTGCTGCTGCTGTGTATTAGAAATTGCCGGAGGAGGTGAAGAAGGAGGTGCTTGGGGGCGAGCGGCAGGATTTTGTGGCTTCGCCCGCATCCACTCGGGGCCAAAATGCATGGTTGTAGTTGCCATTTTGCAGTTTTGTGGTGGTTAGTGCAGAGTGATTGATTCTAATGGCTATTGCTTAGTGCAAGAAGTGACTAGCGAAAAATCTCAGCGGTATGGTTTGCACGTTTCCGTGGAAAATAGGATATCATAGGACGCGATCTGAATTTAGGGCAGGCGAGAGCCACCTCAAACAATGAGTGTACTGGTTACATCAATGGTACTTTGATCAACGTGCGAAACGAACAAGAGCTATCTACCACTCAGTAATATTAGAATAAGTAACGAACGATAGCCCAAACCCCAGCCTAATCTTGCACCCGTGCTCACTCTGGATTGATCCGCCATCTGTACACGGGAAGGGCTAGACAGATAGGCTTGAGTTAATTCCGAAGTGACATAGATAACTTTACCTACCTTGGAGTTTGCGTGCAGTGGGAATGATATAGAAAACTAGGAACAGCACGCCAAACGACATGCATATCGCTGAAACGTAGTAATATCCATCACGTTCTGTGATGCATTGTCCGTCGATCTCTGAGCAGACCTCCTTACCGCGGTCAGAGACGCATTCGGCAGCTGGTTTCGAGTAAGCATTAAGGGGCGCCAAGAGCAGAAAACATTCATGCCTACCTTTAACAAGCAGCTCACTGTGCGCCTCCTTCACTTCGCAGTACGCCTCACTAAAGTAATCGACGCCTTTATTAGAGCATTAGTAGCGCTCGACGAATATGGCTGCCATACACCCTTACCTTTCAATACAAAGTACTTCGGCCACGTTCCTCCCAGATTAGTAAACGTATTAAGGAGCTAAATAGGTATGAAGCTATCAGTCGACAAGTAAGGAACCGTGGAAATCTCATACCGTCATGTAGGTCCCTCCAATGAGAGGATCAGATATTCTGGTGTGGAATGCTGAGATACCAACGAACTGAATCGTCCTACGGAAGAAATCAGCCGTGCTCCGGATTTCATTGATTGGGCATACGATGCAAGTCCTTGTAACACTGTGTGGATGATAAGGAAGACGAAAAATCCATATGAAAGAGGGGGTGTTGGGAACCAGTAGACAATGAGCGTCGACAAAAAGGCAAATCCCAATCGGGGCCAAAACGCCCATAACCATGGACGAAGTGGCCTGTCGCCATTAGACCACTTCGCCGCAAAATAGCCTCCCAAGATTTGAAAAGGAAAATCTATGAGGACAACAATAGCGAGGTCTTCGCGACCCAAACCCTTCTCAATCATTTTCAAACTAGTGACTGCCTCATTAGCTTGAAACCCGATTTTTGCGAAGAAGTGCATAACAATGAGCGCCTGGACATCTGAAGGAAAACATCAGTTACTAAACAATCCGAAAATGAACCTATTTACGCTTGAGTTTGCAAATGTTCCATATGGTTTTGTAAACGGATGTAACAGTCATTTCTGACCCGTCCAATGATTCACTGCCCTAAAAATGTATCATTTTGTCATCAATTTTGCAAAAAGTTTCGCTGATAGTCACCTCTGTTTCGAAGAAGGTTAGCCAAAAAGTTACTCCAAAACACAAGAGGCTGCAAAAACGCAGATATGTGCTTAACTCGAGGCGTGGAATGCCCCATTTCTCACTGCAATTTGTCACTAAATAATGCGTAGTATTGAACATAAACTGCTTACGCGAATGCCTCGCTGTTTAGCGCTAGGAAGACGGTGAAAGAGGCGAAGAAGCCTGTGTTCAACCCGATTGTCTGGCATGTAGACGCGTAGGAAAGATTCTCCTGAGAGAGAAGCGTCAAAGCCCATCCTGGATTGATATTAGTATTGACGTGACTGAAAACAAATCAAATAAGGGACCATCCACAGCAATATCTGTAAAACACTTGAGTATGAAACAAGGGGCGCGATGATTTTACGTACCTTGCGTTGCAGAAAAGAGTACCAGTGACGTGAATACAAAAGTGAGTTCATGGATATTATCCGCAGGCTGAATGCACGTCAGAGTGAACGATTGAAAGTCTAGCAGTTGTGACGTACATTTTCCATCAATCTCCCGACGTTCGAGGCTATGTAGAGCATCAAGGAGCCGATTATGAGTTGCATAGGAATTATCCATGATTTTCGACGACCAATGGAAGGATGAAATGTTGAATCAACGATAGGAGACCATAATAGCTTGAGCGAATATGGGTAGCTAGATAATGCGAACACGCCAAGTTGTGAATATGATAGATGTTCTCGGAGAATGAACGGGACAGAACCTAAAAAATGTCAGAGTGAGCAGAAAAAAGAAGTGTATCATACCAAGGGCAAGGCCAAGCTGTTCATGGAATAGTGAGCATCTCACCCGGCGCGACATCCGAGGAAGATAAATAACTTACAGGAACTCCTTGGATTAAATCTAATGGGATTATAAAATCATGTCAACTGGATTGAAAGCTCGGAGATATGAAAGTGACCGACAAAGAATGATCAAGAGGGTCATTGCCTTTTTGTCTCTAGAAGACATAGCAGTTGTTTTCGCTCCACCTGCAGAAGAACGCGCGTCACCATCTTGGAGGTTTCGCCCAGCACTTATCCGCTCCTCTTCGGACAACAAACTTAGCTCGACATCTTCGAGGTTTGAAGGTGATCCCGCAGGCACGCGAGGCAGTATTCGAATTCCGTCCAAGGAGGAAGAGATGGCTTTTTTGTGAAAAGGCGGTAGTGGGGACATGTCAATTTGACTGGTGTAGTCCCGGGCCTCCACGACGACGTTAGCGTTGCTGGACCTGTGGCGCAAGCTTTGAGGATCTTCTGAAGGAGATTTATTCCGGGTGGCAGACATGCGAAACAAATTCGACCCTTGGTTGGTTGACCGTATTCACTCGATCTGCTCGTAACAACTTGCTGCAAGGAAGTGACACGATCGCGTTAGGCTCGACACCGGGTCAATTACCAAATTTGGTATGTTTCCATAATTTGTAGCAGCTTGTGTGAGTCCGTCAAACACGTTTAGCTCGTAGTCATGGGTTCATCAAAGTAGAAATCATTTTTATGTTCTCCTACGTCCCCTACTCGACCACGCAGCTTTGATATTTCCGGTGGAACTCGTATCTTTTTAGTTCTCGCCACAGCGACTCAACGACAGAACGCATCCTGCCACTGCCATGATAGCTCGTCTCCCCGCTCTACCTTCTCCTGCTACACGGCCCGGTGTCTTTCACGTGGCCTTTGGTTTTCTGATCTTCCATGACTGATCTACCTGCACGATGTTCGCGCTCTCGCTTAGGTTTTCACCGCTGGATTGACCTATCAGTTATAAAACACGATGATACACTCGTAAAAAGTAAAGGACATGATCGATAGGAAGACGCCTGTGTAGGGCATGCATATTACTATTAGTGATCAATCAACGATCATTAATACTGATGCAGATAATTCGTTATAGTTCCGATTTCTGTCGCGGTTTCAGCCAGAAGGTACTCCAGAATCACTGCCGTAAGACGCCCGGTCTGAGGTTCTGCAGTAAAACTGACTTATGAATTATCAGATCTCACGACTGCTTTGTACCCTCCAAGTCGGTCAAGCAACTTAGCAAGGCATATACTCGATGCGATATAATGCAGCACTGCCCAGTCCGTTGCTAACATGACACACGCGAGGCAGTTATTCTGTTTGCAGATAGATCCAAAACGCAAACTCGCCCTATCTTCTTCGCATCTATCGTTCTGCTACCCATCATTCCGTATTAGGATCAAGTGCGATTCAACAGACTCGCGGATGGGTACTGCAGCGAGCCAGTGACTGAGTCCATTATGGTGCCTTTTCAATCATGTCTCGATTGAATTCATCATTGCCTTCTTCAGAGTTCTCTGTCAGTTCATCCAATGTCCAGGTTTTAGATTCAAGTCATCGAATCAGGCAAAGCGTCAATCAGGAGCAAGGACTTGCCATCTATGACTGATCAGATTTTCTTACATCGCTGAAAGCCTTGATGCAATCATAACGCCACGGCGAACATCATAATCCGATCGATCTAGAATGTTTGCCAAAAACATTACGCGAATTGGATGTACCAGGACGCATAAAAAGGTGCTCCTCATTGCATCCTCAATCGTGCCACTGTGATAACAAACGACACATCTCGCTCCAAGACTCTTCCAACCGGTTGCGCATTCCATGTTGTACATCTATCATTTCTCCATTGCTTTCGCTTTCGTATACATATTACGTTTCTTTCAACAACGATTCTCGTCTCTGTTCGCCCTGCGCCACGTTCCGGGCCCGAAGTCTTCCTCCTGGGTGTGGGGCGAAGAAAAGGTGTTGTATTATAACACACCTGGTGCCTTATATCTGGACTGGCACCGCACATACGGCAATGTTGTGAAATTTACAGGAGCGTTTGGCGTAAGGGCGTTCTGTTCGAACTTTGTTGCCTCGCTCACTGTTCTCATCACTCATCAGCATCAGCTCCTTTCCGTCACGGATCCGCACGCAATATCGTTTATTTTGGGAGAGGGCGCATACCAGTTTCCCAAGCCAAAAGGCGTGCGTGCCTGGTTTCGTATGCTGCTCGGAGAGGGTATTCTCTGGGTGGAAGGTAATCATTCAATACACATCTTAACCCACTCACTGATGTGTGTGGTAAGGCAAAGAAGCTCACGAGAAGCAACGGCGTAGCGTCGGCCCAGCATTAAGGTAATAAGCGCACATTATCTCGGTGGTAACTCTACGTTGACGTAGCTTCAGTGTGCAGTCTGCACGGAACTTGACTCCGGTATTCTACGAAAACGCTACCAAAGTAAGCTGCATATATCGTGTTGGATACTTCTCTAATTTCTTCCAGATGGTGTCCCAGTGGCACAAGCTTCTTGATGCCCAACATAGCGACGAAATTGTGATTGAGATGACTAACTGGGCCGGACGCTTTGCGTACGTATTACCCGCAAGTGTTTCGTGTGCTCTCATCCAAATTCTATGCAGGTTGGATACAGTTGGACGAGCAACGTTGTCGTACGACTTTGACTGCCTTCGAGGCCAGCCACACGCTCTCGCGGAAACCCTAGACGGCTTGACGAATCACGAAAAATCGCTTACCTCATTTTACATGAAAGCTCTTTTTTGGTTATTACCATCTATCTTGCATCTCGGCAAGAAAGGGCAGATGATCAGAAAAACCCGAAAAGAGCTTGGGGATCTGGCTACAGATATCTTGAAGGATGCGGAAGCTGTCAGTGATCCGAACAGTAAGACGCTGATGTCACTGATGCGTATGATTCTGAATTATTCGAGGATCATCACTTCGTTGACAATAATCTACACAGTGCGAGCTGATAAAGCCACTGCCGCTGTACGTATGGATGAAGAGCAAGTTGCAGCGCAGATGCGAACCATCATTTCAGCTGGTTATGAACCAGTTTCCGCCACGATTGCTGTAGGTTCACTTAACTAGTCCCAAATTTTGATTGAAAATGTCTTCTAGTGGCTGTTCTTTGAGCTTTCCATGAGCCCGGAATGGCAGCAAGCAATTCGTGAAGAAGTTTCAACTGCTGGAGACCCTACGTTCGATGAACTCAACAATGCCTACCCTCTTCTCGACGCATTTTTCCTAGAGACACTCCGCCTCCATCCACCTGTTCTCGAAAATCATCACGAGGTAAGATTAAATGTACGCAGCCGAAAGATTTAACAGAGTTTGTTCGCGTAGGCTGCTGAGACCATCAGTATACCTCTTTCGGAACCTGTAGCAGGGTCTGGTGACCTTCACCTCGTCATTCCAAAAGGCACAATCATCTCACTACCTGTCAATGTCATTCAAAAAGACAAGTCAACGTGGGGGTTCGACGCAGACGACTTCCGACCAGAACGCTGGCTCCACCGCGGTACCAGGACTAGCCGCGAGTTGTTGGCTTTTAGTGTCGGGTAGGCGTACCCCTCTTTTGATGCCTATTTTTTGCTCACCCCTGACAGCCCCCGGGGCTGCCTCGGGCGAAACTTTGCAGCTGCCGAAATAAAGGTAGGCGTTCATGACGTTCGTCCTTGATCACCCCATCTGATTATGACTTGCCCGAAGGCTCTGACAGTGACTCTACTCCGACACTTCGCCTTCTCCTGTCCACATGAAATTGAAGCTTTCCAGAGTTTTGTCATTCGTCCCCGAGTTAAGGGAGAAGGCTCGAGTTCGCTACCGCTTACGGTTCGCAGAACCCTGTGACAAGTCAGTTGGGGGGATGCTAGCTCGTGGGCACATATTTGTTTATACTACTTTCGTATTGAATGTACCGAGATGTGATATTGCACTTTAGACATTAGAACTCAAGTGACCTTGTAAGGACGCTATATTTTTCTAGTGTCCACACCAGATGTCGCCGACTCCTACGGTTTGTAGGAAGCAAACAGCAAACAGTCTCTAGTAGCATACATGTACTTTCACAACACGCGTCACGTCGCCATCACGTCCAACCTCACTTGGTCAAAACACGCCATGCAAGTACGCCTTGCAGTCCCAGTACTTGAAACCACCATGTAGATTTTCAGAATTTCTTCGGTCGGACTGAAAATTGCAACTTCATAATGCCGAAATTCATCTTACCACCAGAGATGATAGAGATCACTCAAGAAAACCACGCGAAAATAGGTGTTACTGTAAACAACCCACGAGTGCGGGATAAACCAATAAGACAGTCAAGCTAGGTAGCTGACAAGACATAAATATGCGTATCGAATAGATGGCCACTGGTGATAGCATCTATTCCTTCTTTTGCTTTTTCGCCCTTGGTTTCTCCAAATCAATTTCCTCAGCGTCATCGTCATCGTCTTCGCTGTCCTCCTCTTCAGAATCAAGTTCGTCGCCAGCAATATTACCCATGAAATAATCTGTGGCCTCGGAGAAGATCTCATTGGCAATTTGCGCGCCAATCTAGAAAATATGCCAAGTTAGGCACCTATGGCAACAGACTGGCGCCACTCACCTCAAATGGATCATCTGCAACCTCAAAGAAATTGAAGAAGCTGCCAGCTTCTGCAGGCATATCATCATCGTCCCCATCCACCTCAGCCACACGAGGGTGGAGTTTGGTCAGGGCATTCTCAGGATCCTTCCAGTGAATAGGAGTTGCCTACCGCAAGTTTAATAGTGTGATTCAGTGAGGACACACGTAACTTACGGAAGGCTGGACATCACGGGCCCAGGAGAACTCGAGCATGGAGTCGGTAATACCGTCTGCATCAGGGTTGTCGTCCGAAGCGGCGGGTGGAGGTACATATTTGTATTCCTTTTTTAAGACGGAGTCAGTGAAGTACGGGTTTGCCTTGAAAAACTATCATAACAATTTAGAGTGTTGATTATCATGGCGCATATCAACAATGACGCACGAATTCGATAGTGTAGCATCGTGGCTCCTTAGGATCGCGAACGATCCATAAGTCTTCAAGGTAGCTCAGCGCAAGTTGATCAATAGTGTGTTGTGCATGAAAAGAGATCATGCTATTGTTCATAAGAGCCACAGGCCAAAATTTCTCTATCGATTTAGCGACAGCACGGCGTTTTTCATAGACTGGGGTCAGTTTGTCCATAGCCAGGCGCTCTTAAAAATTGTCAATTTGCGTTACTGCTTTCCGTGGGGGGCTCTGGCCATACACTGAGAAGCTCACCTATGACAAGTTCGACGCGTTGGACATCTTTCTGAATGTCCTGGAGTTTTTTGGCATCTTCATTGTTGAGTTCGACATTTGCCAGAGGATTTTTCTCGACGTCTGTGCCGGGGGAAGCGCGTTTTTTGCCAGACATGGTGAGGAAGGGACAGGAGGATTTATGCTCCAAACATATGCATATCCTAGCGTGACGCGCCACAACGGAGTTTGAATTCTGTTTGCGGCGCCAAAATGGGAAATTTTCCAAGCTTATGTAAGGCACGAAATTAAGTACGGGGCGATTATATATGTGGTCCCGGATAGCATGATTGATAGGCGCTGCGTAACATAGTTCAGTAGCGGGTCTCAATCTACTCTCTTCTTCGTTCCCTCTTCCATCCCACTGACCGTCAAAGCTCTCTTACGCCCGTTTAAGAGTAGCCTGGAACCAAAGTAATTTGATTGACCAAAAAGATCCAACTTGTGAGCTAGAGGGCCAGTGAAGCCCTTCCCATTGTGAGCTGAGCGAAATCCTGGTCCTTTGTAGTAGATGATATCCGTGGGAGGAATGAGCCGCGGCCACGAGACATACTCGATGCCATGCACCATCATGAACACGACAGCCAATGAAGTGATAACGAACCACAACATGAAGTAATACAATAGCGAGTAGTCTGCGACTACCAGTCAGCGAATTCCGCTAAATGATGTACATTGTAGCTAACCTGATGTTCTTGGCAAAGTAAGTCCAGCGCAGATCATGAACAGCGCAAACAACAAGATGTAAGGGACCTGAAGGAGTAGATTCAGCGATGAGTTGTTCCGAGTGCGAACAAACGTACCGATCGGATGGTTAATGGTCGCGTATCAGCGACCAGGGATGCAGCGGTGACTGGATTCTTCTGAGGAGTCCAAGCTCCAGTAACAAGGTCAAATCCATCCTGTAAATCTGTCAGGGTAGCAAAGTCAAGCGCTGGGAGACACGAACTTGTCTAGCGCCATCGAAATGATTGTTCTTGATGTATCGCACGACACTCTTGTACCCATCTTGGAGTGCACCTATTTTCGTTCGTGTATTCGTACGGGTGAAGTCTGTTTTTAACGCCCCCGAGCCTGCATATGCCTTCGAGATTAAGTCCGCATGATCGGCCCACACTAGATAGCATAATGAGTATGCAACGATGAGATTGCAGCGACAGCCTTACTCTCACGGAAACCTCTGGTTAATGCATCAAAGTCATCCAGTTCTTCATTGTCGGACACCACCCCAATGGCTTTCAATTGCCGATGAAGCGTCCATTTCGCTAGCGCTGCTTGGACTACGTTCGTGCGGTCCAGATTGTCCATACAATTTGTTCTCATCACGCCTGTCTGTATTTGTACGGCCTTATTCTGTGCCGTGTCGAGGTGGAAGTATCTGCATGTACATCAGTAAAAGAACTCTTGAGGGTTGCTCGTTCGAACCCTTGCTGAACGAGATCCTCTTGCATCTTTTCGATGAGAACACTAATACGATCCCATCGCATGTGTTTGCACTCGTTGTGGAAGTCGAAGTATTGATACTTCACGTCCGGGAGATCAACCTAAAACACATCAATGAGATGCAGAAGTAGTGTGTAATGGCAATGTACTTTAGAAACAGCGCGTTCGTAGGCTTCCTTTACCGGTTGCTCGTGACCTTTTTGATTCACCAGGTTGATGAGACTTTGACTGCCATATTCTGAAACTTGATCTCGAAGGTGGAGCTTAATCATGTCAACCTATAAGTGGTCAAAACGATGACACCCATCGAAACCGAGAAGTAAAATTACCGTCTCCTGAAGGTCCATAACCTGCAAATCAGGTTTATATCTGAGTGTGTTGACCTCAGCCCAGAAGACCGGCACACTGCCTCTAATCTGAGTGAAGCTCAATTTGTGCGTTAAGTTCTCGGCAAACGATAAGCGCCCCGCGGGTTTCTCATCAACCAGGAGAATTTGTTCGGTCTCGTTGAAGTTGGCAACATGGCCTTCATGGTCAATGCCACGGCGGAAGTATCTCGTGCCTGCACGATAGCGCGACCGTCGGCTGATGAGGCAAAGCTGGATGCGATGTCCATGGATATATACAGTGCGCATGTCGAACGCTAAAAGCCATCAAATAATGATCAGAAAGATTGAGGCACGGACTTACTTCCATAAATAATTGGGAGAATGTAAGGACTGAGCTGTATAAATCATGAAATGTGCACTAAAACTGGATAAAAATGACTCACATCATGTGCGATGTCTGTGTCTGTGAGTCTAGACTGTAAGAATCTGCGGGAAGTCACGAATGTCAACATGCATATTCTGCACAACTGTATGAGCGACCAACTTATTCCAAAAAAACCTGTCGTCGGCCTAATACTCGGTCATTTTCATGGTTCCAAATGCATATCTTAGTGCTCACCACCTCCCACAAGGCCTTTCTCCCTTCGTTGTCCCGGTCTTGCCATTGTGCTTGGAGTCTCCTCGACAAGTCCCAGCCGTAGCTAAATAAGAAGTGTCCGCCGAGGAGATGCGAGCGAACCAATGCTAACAAGTGTCTCTCTACTGGGTGGGGTGGATTTTGAACAGAGACATTTGGATTTAGAGGTAGAATGTCAAAGTCAGCCGCGCGGTATATGTCGTGGCCCATCAGGCGCGCACGGTGTTCGCGGCCTGTCATTACAATCACATACTCCGCTGCAATATGGATCGGTCTATGCAAAGTGGCCTCTGGAAATCGTAATACGCACAAAGAGCCAGTGAAATCATCCCCAGGATCCCGTAAATTGTCTTGCCGTATCTCGAGGCGGTAGGATGGACAGGTGTGTTCGGTGCTGAGCAGAGTCATATGTAGCTGCAATACCACGTGTTAAAGGCAGCTCACCATTGAGTACTATATCACCGGTAGCCCTGTGTATGGTGAGAGACTGCGCTCCAATAGGTTGCACGGGAACAAAGGTGTAGGCGTCCTGGCCGTCAATAAATCTGTAAAAAAAAAGTCAGCAGAAAAGTAAAATTTAGTGGGCAGCGGGTCGCACAGATTGAGTCTCTGGTATATGGGCTTCATGGTGGTCAGGAAGTAATGTGTTGAGCACGTCGCGTCGTAAGTGGCTGCTTCTTCGTTGTCTGAGTCTGAAACGTAGCGTGCACCCTTCACGCTTGACTAGAGCCGCCATGGTCAAGCTCACTCCCGAGCTTCTCGCGCAGGCCCCGTCTGCACTCAACCCCATAAAAGAGCGGCAGCTCGATCTACGAGGTGAGCTCGTAAAAATCAGTTGCATCTCGAACCATGTTCATATCATTCCAAAGGTTACAAAATCCCTACTATTGAAAACCTTGGTGTGACCAAGGTACGCGCATTGGCCTCATGTATATCGTGGCAGTAAATATTACAACTTACATTTGTAATAGGACCAGCACGATGCTATAGATTTCACAGATAATTCAATCACCGTGCTGGGCAATCTGCCCTTGCTTAAACGACTGAGAACACTCCTTCTTGCCAACAACCGAGTTGCTTCGATTTCACCCTCAATTCACCTTTCAGTTCCAAATCTAACAACTCTTGTCCTCACTGGTAACAGTGTTGTTGAGCTCGGCGATCTCGAACCTCTCAAGGAGATCAAGGGATTGAAGTACCTTGCCCTTTTGGGCAACCCCGTGAGGGAAAAGAAATGGTATCGCGAGTGGCTTGCGTGGAGAATAGCATCGCTGAGAGTTCTGGATTTTCAGAGGATTCGCGATAAGGTGCGCCCACGACGTTCGAAACTCAACGCGGTCGATAGCTCAGCACACTCGCACCTTTCAGGAGCGGGAGGCAGGAAAGTCTTTGTTCCTTACAGCAGAAGGTTTACCTACTGCCCTTGCAACAACGATATCCACCACCATATCGAAGCAGGGTTCAAAAGCAGCCGTCACTCTTGACGAGCCCAAACCAGCGGCGCTGTCAGGGAAGGCAGGTCGGCTGATGTCAAAAGAAGACGCCGAGAAGGTCAAACTGGCCATCGCAAAGGCAACCTCCATCGAAGAGATCAGGAGGCTGGAGAGAAGTTTAAGAGAAGGATACATGCCATCCATGGAGTCTGTAGGTGCATGACTGTACTGCTTAGAACTGTATTTTTGCGTAATATCTACTCTGGCTGTTGACACAGTTGAGAGCTACACGGATGCTCTTAGGACAGGTTTATGATACCCAGAAAGTGCTTCACAACCCGTAGCTTCCAATCCACAGGCCGTGAAAGGTCAGGGCAATGACTGCACCCAAGTTAGCCAGCGAGCTCATGCCATGGAGCATTCCAAACTTCGTATTCAATGCCTTCATCTGGGCGGAAACCTACAAATCTTCGTCAGTACATTGTTATGATTGAAAGAATAGCAAGAGCTTACGCCGGGTTCATCGTAGTTTTTGCCTTCTTCTTTCTCCAACTTATGTCGCTGGAACATGGTCCTGTGGCCGCGTACATGAAAATTCAGTACCTGGTGGTCTTGTAACTACAGTCTACCTGCCTGCTAGTCATTGGCCCAACGGCAAACTGGTTGCAGCTCTGTAGCGCTATGACAGTGCCGAGCACATATGCCTGTGCAACATCAGCCCGAAGAGGACTGGTGATGTTGGCAAGAAGTTCGGGATGAGCATATGCCCAAAGCCCCAGCAAAGCCGAGGAGAGTCCAATCGAGGAAGAAAAGTAGATCGGGAAGGTCTTGTGCTGAAGAGCACCAAACTGGTGTCTAGCTGTTTCAACGAAGTAGTCTGATTATCGACAGCACGCGATACACGTAAATCAGAAAGACGAACGCAACGTCCGCAAAGCAATTATTCCTGAACACATGTCCGTCAGAAAAGCAGGTTCATGATAAATATTGATAGAGTCTCGTACCTCCAAAAAATGACACCCACACAGCTAGATCCGTCTCGTGAGTCAGCGCAGACGGATGTACGATGACGGAACGATCTTACACATCCCATAAAGCCAGCCATAACCTAGAATGTAAACGCCTTTAGGCGACACCGTACCGAGGAGGGAGGCTGGTGATACGACTTCGACATGTACCATGGTCAACTGGGAAGAACTAATGAAATGTCATGGTGGAGTCTCATTTATACGTGGCAGACTTACTAGTTGAACGCAATCCAAGACAAAAATATACCAATACAAATATACGGGTTCCAGGAAACAGCGAATCACCTTCCGATTGCAAATATGATCCATGAGTATTGGTGCCAGCTAAGGAAGGGATACACAATACGTGGCATAGCATTCTTCAAGTAACTAAGGGTGCATCGCCCAATCCCCTGGCATCATCCCTTGTCTGCCCATCCCCCTCCTCCTTACAGTTACAGTGCGATCGTCCCGCGATCCTCCTATGAGTACAAGGTGCTTGTCGACAAGCTACATGGCAAACGCCCATGTTGATCAGAACTGAATTAGGAGACTGACAATTGCATATCACTCACGTCATTCAAAATGTTTGTCGATTTCGTAAGCGATGAGAGCAGCGCAGTAAGCTGGACGTCTTCATACTCCTGTATGGCGTATCAGAGTGAGTAAGGGGTAGCGTGAACATCGAACAGAGATGGAGGATGTAAAATAGAAATGGCACACACAGTGTTGAATTCATCGCGGAAGCCCTTATTCTCACTGGCCGGTAACGAGGCAATTAAGGCGGACAAAGATCGAAGTGTTGTATGATCTGTTGGAATTTGGCCTGCGTACAAACGTATATAACCTGGATTTCAAGTTGACGCATATAACGTACCTGCGATCACATCTGTCACATATTGCACAAGAACCAATATTCGCTCGTGTAACATCTTGACTGCTGCCCGCTGAGCTTGAAGATGAGATTCAACTGCAGAAAGGATGATGAGGTATATCAGTAGAAGAAGCAATTCACCCACGGCTGGTACTTCCACCACCACCCTTGGCTGTCCAATCGACAGCAATACGCTCAGCTTCACCCGTCTCTACCTTAAATGGTGCTTCTATGAACACAGAACGTGTCTTCTTATCCCTTATTTCGACGGTAGGCTCATAAGCCTTGAAAGGAAGTGTCTGCCCAGTGATATCAGATGATGATGAAGTTATCGTGGAGGGTTGTAGGACAAGCAGGAGTGGCGTTGAGCAGTACCCTGTGAACTGTGTGCTATGAGCTTCACAAATAAGAACTCAGGAATATTCGACATGCCTGCTCATGTAACGCGATGTGACGATATGTCGGTACAGAAGCTACTGTGTACCATCCAATGAACTCTAAAGAGGGGAACACCTGTTTATCTTCGACAAGAAAATGGTTCGGCCAGCGAGGATGCGGATCACATAGAAGACTTACACTGATCGCGTCTAGACACCAAGAAGTCGTGATCTACAAGGTCATCGCGACCCTCTTCTGTGGCAAGTTCGAATGTGTTTACAATCTCGACTTCTCGACCGTTCTGGGTGCCTAGCAATGCGCCGAGGACTGATCAGTCCGCTGTTAGTGACAGGTAACAAGCATGAGAGAGAAATGAACATGCCGAAAGGTGAATTGGACCGAGTCTGAAGCTTTAATCTCGTCAAATGTTCGGAAATGTTCAGGATCGGCAGGGGATGCCTGAAAGACGACGTCAAGGTTACTAACAGTATCAAACAGAAAGTCGACCAACAGCGACAAAGACAATCCGGACGTTGTGCTAGAGGGGAGGACTATGGATTGTTCGTCTGTATCCATTTGCGAGGTCATGATGAACAGTGAGATTAACGAGTGCGACCACAGCGTTGAATCCTAATGATGCGACAGATAAAATAATAGGAGACAAAAAATATTCCCATTAGCCGACTTGAACGACTGACCTCGTCATTACTAGTGACGCGCTCTACCAACTGAGCTAAACGGGATTCAAAGTTCAACATCTATAAATGTACATATCCGTCTGATGTCGCGTATCTGTCTGCCCTAAAGGATAATATACCTTCGCGTCTTCCACATCCATTCATTGAAGATAAGTCACTCTTTTCTGTTTCGCTCATAAATGTCAGGTTTCGACGGAAATCATGTGTTCACCGTCTCGGTCCATGACCCACCAGCTGTTGCATCTCCTGACTCTCCATCCCAAACCGAGAAACTCTTGTTAGAGTTTTTGTTGCAATATCGCGTCGGAGGCGAATTCATCTACAGGTCAGTTTTATTTTCTCCTTAGTGTCTGACAGTTGTTAAATAAGCTTGCAGAGATCAGCTTCGTGCAAACTTGCTCCTTAAGCAATACCAGCTGGAGGTCGATCTTCGTCATGTTGGTCTGTATAATGATGAGTTAGCGCATGCAATTCAGGACAGACCGGCAGATATATTGCCGCTGGTAAGTACATTTCCCGTGTTCTTGCACTCGAAGCTCAGATCATTTACAGTTTGAAAACGCGGCTACTAAAGCGGCTCGTACTATCCTATTCCCGCTAGCTGGTGGCTCTGATGAACGCGCAGAGGCCGCCCTCCAATCAATCCCCAGAGTCCAAATCACCATCAGATCTGGCCTCCAGATGCAACGTGTTCGCGACTTGACAGCAAATACGATGAACAAGTTGGTCCGTATACCAGGAATCGTTATTTCCGCCTCTGTCCTTTCCTCGCGAGCAACAAAGCTTCATCTTCAATGTCGTGCTTGCCGGTCCACAAAAGTTGTATACCCTGCCGGCGGCCTTGGAGGAATAGGCAATGGTTCAGATCGAGGCCTACCAAGAGTTTGTGATGCACCAGAGTTGGAGAATCAGAAGAAGGATTGCCCAATAGACCCTTACATCATTGTTCACTCAAAGTCGTCTTTTGTTGACCAGCAGACTCTGAAACTGCAAGAGGCACCAGACATGGTTCCAGTTGGTGAACTTCCACGGCATATGCTTCTCTCTGCAGACCGATACCTAACGGGCAAGGTCGTCCCTGGCTCACGAATAGTCGCGACTGGGATTTATTCTACTTTCAGTTCGGCAAAGAACGTGAGTATCATCTCAATTTTCCCCCGATACACATATTAAATTATGACAGAAATCTGCTGGTCCTGCTGCACTTCGACAACCTTATCTTCGTCTTGTTCACATTGAAATGTCCTCGCCGACTGCCGGTGGTGGCGCCTCAAATCCTTTTGGAGTGCAATTCACTCCTGAAGAGGAGGAAGAATTTGGTGAAATGGCACGCAGCGATGGTTTCTATGAACGGTTTGCTAAGAGTGTTGGTCCAAGTATTTATGGCAGCCTCGGTTCGTCGCGAACTGCGAACTGACTTTTCGATCCTTGCTCATTGCTTTTGCAGACATCAAGAAGGCGATTACCTGTCTGCTTTTCGGTGGCTCTAAGAAGGTCTTACCAGATGGTATGCGATTGAGAGGCGATATCAATGTTCTTTTGCTCGGAGATCCAGGGACAGCAAAGAGTCAACTGCTCAAGTTTGTCGAGAAGGTATGAGAGGCACCAATCCCGCGCTGTACGCCCTCTCATCACATCCTGCAGGTTGCACCGATCGCCGTGTACACCTCTGGAAAGGGTTCTAGCGCAGCTGGATTAACCGCTGTCGTCCAGCGGGATGCAGTTTCTGTAAGTATCAATTCCTTTACAGAAATTTATGCTCTTTGACTTTTCGCATCGCATCGCAGCGCGAGTTCTATCTCGAGGGTGGTGCCATGGTTCTTGCAGATACTGGGGTTGTTTGTATAGACGAATTTGACAAAATGCGCGATGAGGATCGGGTTGCCATCCATGAGGCTATGGAGCAGCAAACCATTTCGATAGCGAAGGCTGGTATCACGACGGTGCTGAACTCCCGAACAAGTGTCCTTGCAGCAGCAAATCCAGTTTGGGGACGATATGATGAGGGTCGGAGCCCTGGCGAGGTATTCTGCTTCACGAGGGGGTTTTATAGTTTGCTGACGTAGCATTCAGAACATCGACTTTCAAACAACCATTTTGTCACGTTTTGATATGATTTTTATCGTCAAAGACGAGCACAACGAACAACGAGATCGTGTCAGTGTCCACTTCCTCGATCCTAAACCTTTACTCAAGACCGAATATTTAGATGATTGCCAAGCACGTCATGAACATCCACATGAACCGGCCGAATCAGAGTACAGACGACAATGGAGAAGCTGTTGGCGAAATCGACATTGACAAAATGAAGCGGTATATCTCGTATTGCAAGAGGTTTGAATTATCCCCTATTGTTGCAAGATAATCAAGCTAATTATGTGATCTCCAGCAAATGCGCACCGCGGTTATCTCCAGATGCTCAAGAAATGCTCAGCAGTCATTTTGTTAGTCTTCGGAAGCAGGTTCAGCAAGTGGAACGCGATAATGACGAACGGAGTTCGATTCCCATAACAGTTCGGTTGGTATCAATTTCCAGATCCACTGCCGTTGAGACTAACGCGTTTCACAGCCAATTAGAAGCCATCATTCGAATATCGGAATCGCTTGCCAAGATGACATTATCACCTACTGTTCAGAATCATCATGTCGAGGAAGCCATCCGGCTTTTCAAGTTCTCGACGATGGACGCTGTCTCGGCGGGTTCCGTTGATGGCATGTCTCGCGGCGAGCTGAATGACGAGATGTCGCGGATAGAGAAGGAATTGCGCAGACGTCTTCCTGTGGGCTGGAGTACGAGTTACCAAAGTTTAGTAAGGGAATTTGTAACGCAACAGGGGTACTCGAATCACGCGCTGGAACGAACACTCTTCATCCTTGAGAAGAGGGAGGTGATACGATTCTCTGGTCAGGTGAGTATTCTATGTCGGACCACAAAAATGAGATGATAACCCGTGTGTATTGCAGAAAAAGGTCGTGCATCGGTAAGTTGTTTATTTTGATATTAGTGCACGGCTTGAATATTGCCACAGGGTCGGTGTTTGATGTGTTGTACGGACAATGCTATACATTTGCTCTTTGTTTTGAATATCTGTGGATAAGTAGTGTCCCTAGTCAGACCCATTGAAGATAGCCATAGTGTCTTTATTCTTCCTGCGCGTTATACAGGTACACGTGGGCATTGTGACATCGCCCGCCTAGCTCAATCGGATAGAGCGTCAGACTCTTATGACTAGGCGATCTGAAGGCTGCGAGTTCGACCCTCGCGGTGGGCTAATGTTTTTGGATGATTTCCCTTGTACGAAGCGCCTCTCGGATTAGCCCGAATTTGAAAATGTGTCTAGTCCTCCGTAGAGTAGCGCAAATGCAATCTTTTAGCTTGTAGATTAAGGCTACCTCGTTAGAATTTTGAAAGTTGAGGGTCGAGATAGCCAAATTTGAGCAGCTTTATTTGTCATACGAGCCATATGTGTAAACCGATTATGGTCCGGGGGAGATGAAGGAGCATGTAACTTTTTTCCGACGCTCGCGTTATTGTCCTTTTATAGAATTTTCATTAAAATTTTTGTACTATAGAGCTCCCTACGGAGACGGTACGCTAGTGTGTAGTACTTGCACCATAGCTAGAGCTATGTCGGCAATGGTGGTGCACTAGTCTCCGTCCGAAGCGTTTGTCGACAAAGAATGATTCCGGCTCTTCCATATATTACAGCAATTTGCAAAATGGGCGCGATCGGAGGCAAAGTTTGAAAGTCGCGACGTCTGATCTGCAATGCGGAATGGCATAATAAAACTTTGATTGACTCAGAGAATTGGAAACTGAAGACAGGTACTAGTTTCCTTTTGGGGGGGAGTGTTTTTTTTATTCCCCAACGAATGGTTAACATTCTCAGAGTCGGCAATGAACTATCATGCTGACAGTGACAGACAACAGATTCCCTGCCGGTTCCACAACACAATACGCCATAACACACTCGCATCAGCAACAGCGACACGGAGAAACCTATGGGAACACTTACTAATATAATGCTAATCAGTAGGACAAGTTTAGAGCAACAGCCGGCCTCAAACTGGCAACAAGCGTCAGTGTTGTTCCTGTATTCGGAGATGAAACGAACTGAGAATTTAGCACGCCTGCAAGAAACGATCGGACATTGAAAATAGAGTCAGCATGGTGGCTAATCGATAATCGCTGGAACGTCGGAAAATTCCGAGGCCACGCAAAGCAAGGTCAGATTCTGCGACCCTAGTTGAAAAAATTTCCGACGAAATTTGAAACATGTTGCATGAAATGGTAACTGGGCAGGTATACAAGCAAGGAGATGCTAAGTACGATCTACAGAAGCCGTCTGCTTGCAGTTTCAGCATCTCGCTAGAGACCTTGTACTCTGAGTCTGACCCCTCTTCTGGTCGCAAAGAGCGACAGTGACTCGGCTCGTTGCTGAGCGCTTCTTTGTCACCATGTAATAGTATGATCATGGTCCGGGGGAAGCATGGGGTAACTTTTTTGGGACGGCCAAAATTTTGTACTATAGTCTACGGAGACGGTACGCTGGTGCTTCGTACACTGTAGTACTTGCGCCATAGCTAGAGCTATGTGGTGCACTAGTCTCTGTGGAAAGCGAAGAAAAAAGTATTTCGGCTCTTCCTTGTAATAACTTTTATATATCAAGGGCCATGTCATTATAATGGTAACGTTCTAACTTAGCCTTACGTTTGCATGTACTAGCCCGCCGCAGCACCAAATTCGTAGTCACTCCGCGGTTTATTATAAGGCCTAGGCCTTAGATCTTACATATACTCAGAGTGCGTTAACGAAGCCCATAATCCGGCCTCAGGCCTCATGGCCCTTAGGTTTTCCCGACAACCAGGCGAAAGTTACAGACATGCTTTCTCTAATTCGCTTCCTGCAATTCTGCAAAGCCCATAAGGTCCTTTCCTTTCGCAAATGTAATTGCCTCCCCTCCAGATCGCACTAGATCACTCAAACATGGACCCACTCACAAATACAAATGTCCCAAAGAGCACAAAGATGCATTCAAAAGTCGTTTGTATCATCCATTTTTGTTTGTATCATTCATTTCCCAACACTCACCCATGCGCAGGTTATTATCGGGTCAGGTCCTGCAGGACACACCGCCGCTTTATATCTTGCGCGCGCGAACATCAACCCTGTCCTGTTTGAGGGCTTGATGGCAAATGGTTTCGCTCCCGGTGGTCAACTTACCACAACCATAGATGGTACGTACACACCCCATCCCGTCATCATCTTCGCTGCATCTCGTCTATCACTGCAGTCGAGAACTATCCTGGTTTCCCATCTGGCATCCTTGGTCCCGAGCTTATGTATAGGTTTCGCGAGCAGTCCATTCGCTTCGGAACGCAGATCATCACAGAGACCGTTTCCAAGATCGATCTCTCTGCACGCCCCTTCCGTTACTGGCGAGAGGGTGGGGAACACGATGAACCAGAAACTGCAGATGCGATCATCATCGCAACTGGTGCGAGCGCGAAGAGGCTAAGACTCAAGGGCGAAGTCACATACTGGCAAAGCGGCATCAGCGCGTGTGTAGTCTGCGATGCTGCCAACCCTGTTTTCAGAAATCAACCGCTAGCTGTCATCGGTGGTGGTGATTCTGCAGCAGAAGAAGCCACCTGTAAGATATTTCAATCCTGCTATCCTGTGAGATCGAAAATAAAACACCAAATTCTGGTAGATCTGACAAAATACGGCTCTCACGTGTATGTCCTTGTCCGCCGTAGCGAACTCCGCGCTTCTAAAACTATGGCCAAGCGCCTTATGAATCACCCCAAGATTGTATGTCTCCCTCTATTCTCATACTCCCTTACTTACCACCTCTTATACGCTTCCACAGACGATCCTTTGGAACACCGTCGCAACCGAATGCCAAGGCGATGGCAATCTCCTCAACAACCTCCGCATCAAAAACGTAAGGACAGGGGAAGAACATGATCTACCAGTGGTCGGACTTTTCTATGCGATCGGACATGAACCAGCTACGTCCCTCGTGCGCTCCCAGCTGCAAACGGACCTTGATGGGTATGTCATCACTGTCCCTGGAACGACGCAGACGAGCGTCAATGGCGTGTTTGCCGCTGGCGATGTGCAGGATAAGAGGTATAGACAGGCTATCACTAGTGCGGGGAGTGGGTGCATGGCCGCGCTTGAGGCAGAGAGGTTTATTGCGGAGGAGATAGAGGAGGGTTAGAAAGTGAGAAGAATTTACATAAATGCGTATACCGCTGTAATAATTTTTGCCATATGAAATTATCCATCATCTAGGCTCAATCCAGGTTTGTTTGACATGAACTTCAGAAACGCTGGCTGCCCGAAGGGGGGGTATATATAGGCCCTTGAATTTATCAGAAAACCCCGTGCCGTGCCCGGAACTGCAAAAGGTATTGATTACCTTCCAAACTTGAACTAAAACTTTAGCCCACCGCGAGGGTCGAACTCGCAGCCTTCAGATCACCGCCTTGCACAAACTCGTACAATTCGTAAAAGTCTGACGCTCTATCCGATTGAGCTAGGCGGGCCTTGTAGTGAAGCGCCAAGATACCTTGCTGTACTACTCATCACATTCAGATGCACATGATCAAGTTGACATTGTCACGGGACGCTGGGAACAAGCGCGTCTTGAGTCGCGAGACACACATATTGTCCATTGCAAGTCAGTTTCAAACATTTTTACCGCTGGCTTAGTGCCCATATATTGTTGACAGACCAGTCTTGATATCTGTCTTTGTCACTCGTTACTTAGGGTTAATGATCAGGAAGCTGAATCCAGAGTTGATATCAGATAGCGAGGAAGAGAGACTCAGGTGTGTGACCTTCTCGTGAAAATCACTCTTTGACGTTGACCCGCACACATAGAAAGTGTAAATCTGTCACTCTTGAAGTCATTGAAATATCCTCGGACGACGATGACAACTCGTAAGATTCTATGGCAGAGATATATGTCTAAACAAATTCACGTGTTTTTACCTATCCAGACTCACAAAATACGGGTAAGTTAATGTCTTGTATACTGTGATATCAGATACTTGATGAAGACACAGTACTCGACAGGATCAGAACACTCCTGTTAACACAAGCCCATTCCGTGGATCGTCGGAAATCATTGAATTGACAGATAGCGATACCTGCGATACATCCTCCGACTTTCCGGACAAATTAACTGATCTCGTCAAGAGCCCCGCAAAAATGCGGAGGAAACCTGTGGCTCAGCGTCCGAAGGATTTCTTGTCACTTTATGCTGATGAAAGCGATGCAGACGATGGTTCCATTCTTATTCTGTGAGGCCATACCCACTAGTGCTAATTTCGAGCTCATATATTAACCGGGCAGGAACGAGCCTCGAAGTGCACGCAAACCCATTCGCCGTGCTCAGATATCCACTGTCAATGAGACCATTCCCTCCTTCCCGATTACTCGCTGTAATGACGGGTCATCTCACTCACATTCATCTGGAGAGGATAAGAGGCAGGCTGGTACTCCTCGGGCAATCTTGGACAGCACGCCACGGATAAATAAACCACCCCCGAGGATTTCCAAGCAGGGAAAAGCAGAGGAGCAGGCACGTCGCGAGAAATATGCTGCACAGCTCTTTGAAGAGCTGAATAGTACAATATTCGATAACGGTCTCCCCCGAGAGACAAAATTGAATTGGAATAAGCGCCTCTTAACTACCGCGGGGAGGGCTAAGTGGCACAAGTATCCAGTCATTATGCTACATCTCTTATTATGCTCATCTTGATGGCAGGTCTAGGGATGGTGTTCAGACGACAGAGATCGAGCTGGCCGCCAAAATTTTGGATTGTGATGGTGGAGAGGTCTTTGTTTCTGCTTCTACCGTGCCCCTGATTTGTGTGCTTTTAGAACGGATACGAAATACTTTGTCGCATGAGATGTGTCACCTGGCATCCTGGATCATCAATGGCAACCCGAAAGAAGGCCATGGCCAGATCTTCAAAGCGTGGTCGGTGCCTACATCCTTTTGGTTTTCACTGACTGTTGATCTGATACCTCACTAGGGCCAACAAAGTAATGATCAAGCGTCCAGAAATTGAAATCACGGTAGGCAACCACCACCGCAAAGTGACTGTTTTTTGACAGTTGTAATCCCAGACAAGGCACAACTACGAGATTTCGTACCCATTCGAATGGAGTGAGTATGAGATTCAGCTTCAACCACGCGCCACTTTGATCATTTCATCAAGAATGCGAGAAGTGTTCAAAAATGTAAGTCGGGTTGCGGTCCAGCACCGGCATCCAATGTCTGATGGTCTGGCACTAGATATGGTCGATATAGCAAATCCATCAGACCAGATGAATGCGGTAAGTTGCTCTCCAATGTACTTTCAATATCACACGTAGGTTCATTGAATATGTCCTAGTTTGTGGCGTTTGTAAGGTCGGAAAACTCATCCCCCTCTTCGTGCAAAGAGCACCCAGGACCCCTAAGGTCAGCAGGATGGCTACTGCTCTGCCTCAAGGTAAGGTCTGTCTTAGTACTGGATATTGTTGGATTCACGGAGTTCCTGTAGGTTCCCCTCGTCCTGTCGCGGCTCTCGAGGAAACCAGGCAATTTCCGGCTAACAGCACGGTGTATGCCATATCATCAGAGGATGAGGTGAATATATTGATCGGCGCCATCAACGATGTGACCCTGCATGATGGTGAAACTCCACCACGAGCTATGTAGTCCGTCATTTAGCCCATGATGATCTATCCATTGGTTTATCGGGCCGGTAACTAGACGAATACTTTAATGAGGATAGAGTAAGGATACAAAACCGATTTGCTATAACAGGACCTTGAAATATACCATCTACAAAAAGAAGGAGAAGGGAAGGTCGTGCAGACTTCCTCAAGGAAAATGACGACTTGCTAGATGGGTGCTCTTATATATGGGTGATATAGTATGTGTTGATATGATCCCATAGGCGCTTCTTATGCGCTGTCGGAGCAGCTTCAAACGAACATCCCTAAAAGTTTGGGAATGGCAAACACATGGCGGTACCTCAAGCACTCGACATACTGCTTTCTACGACGTGTACTCAGGCTAGCATTGTTCCTTCCAGAGACTCAATTACAACGTCATTTGTATCATTGCAGTCAACCGTGACCATCAGGGAAATGTCATAGTTACAGTACAACAATCAACTAGGGGAGACCCTTCGGGTCTGCAAGCTAATCGTAGATCCGTCACGTAGGCGGGCAATGTCCGTGGCATCATGGCATGGCGTGGTGCGAAAAACCCCTGAACTCAGTGAACTGCCAACAAAACAGATCAATCTGTCAGTGTCAGGTTACACGTAACACTTCTGGCAAGAATAAACGAGTCGGGGGCTAGCAGCACATATAAAAATCATGTGAATCATACTGAGTTCAAAACTTGTTCGACTAGTCACAGTCCTCCTGACGGTCACACGCATTGTGTTTACCATGAGGTGTTTCGAAGTGAATAAAATGAATCAGAAGCATGAGCATGGAAGACCTTGTATTAATATCTATGGCTTGAGAAAGTGCAATACATGTACCATCGTATGGACGGCAAAAAAAGTGTAAAATGAAGGGGTGGCTGAATCTAAATCGTGAACAGTCATTGTGATATAGATATACCATGCAGCCATAAGGAATAAATACCGTTGAAGTAGGGTGAAAGAAAAGTCAAAGCGAGGTGTATAATTCAGATAGCCCAAGACACATAAACCCCATAAAACGACAGCACCAACACAAGCAAAATATGAGGTTCATTACCAACTGTCAACGCCTACCCACTCTTCGTCCTTCACATCTAGCCAATAATGGTCAACTATATCGCGAACCTCTTTGCGTTCCCTTTGATCGACTGCAAGCATGGGTTCAAGGAAGGAGCATAAATCATCCGCTTCCGAGACAGAGAAAAGGTATTTCTCTGTCATGACACGATTCAGAGGCCACGGCTTCAACGTTTTGATGTAACGAAGCGCCCCTGAACGTAGCGTGAGTCCTTTGCTTGAGTTCTGTTTCCAATTTGACTTACCTGCGTGATCGAATATTTCACGACTATACCTTCCTCCCATCTTCGCATCTAATGGGAAATCACCCAGTAATTCAATTATCTGCGCCATGTGGTCATCGTCCTTCGTGAACATCTCGCCTTGTCCATGAGGGTCAAACAGATATTCCGCAGTCAACAACTCGAAAACGACACAAGCAACGCTCCAAACGTCAGCTCTTGTGCCCCAATCACGTCGTCCAAGGATAGCCTCCGGAGCGCGATACTGTCGTGTCTGAATGTCCTCTGTAAAATGCTGCTTAGAAGGTGTCGCATTGCCTAGATCGGCAATCTTGATAGAAAGCGGCGTAGAAAGCGGTGTAGAAAGCGGCGTTGATGGCGGTCCTAAAACGGGCACCCCTGAAGGAGGCGACGGAGTTCGGTTGAGAGACGGCCCGGAAGACTGATGCGGAGCAGTTTGGGTCAGAAGCGACGGCCCGGGAGTGATGTGGTGAATATCCGAAGAATGTGATTGGATGAGGGGAGATGTAGATACGTGTTGCGCGGAGACCATGACACTTTCCGTATTTAGACGCAATGTGACATCCGGCGAAGCACTCATGAGCGTAAGCGAGGCCATTTTCGTCAGGATGGGTATGTCTGCACTTCCCACCGAGGTAGGAGGTGTGCTAACAGTACTGTTAGAAGCCGCTGGCGTGGATAGCGTGGAGGAGATGATAGACGAAGTCGACGGGCTACTGGAAGGTATTACTGGTGAGTCATGAAGGATGATAGTAGGGTCCGCTCTAGCAGACTTCCTAAGCAACTGGCTGATGGGTGCGCCACTGATCGGAGTTGTCCCAGAAAGTTGCTTTTGGAAGCTATGGCTACTCGCGTTAGCGCTCATACTTCCAGATCTCGATGATGGACTTGATAGTGGCTGTGAATCAAATATTTGTACGCGTCTCTCGTATGCAGGGGCATGTCGATAAGGAATGGTTAAGCCAGAACGGGATTTGGTGGGCTGAGGAACGCCCACGTGATGCGACGTTGGCTTTGGCGAAATAGACAATTCAGCATGGATACGAGCTTCGACATCTGGTATGGAAATGACTAACGGAGTAAGGTGTCAGTGGGGCGGATATGAATACAGAGACAATTAGACACGCACGAATGTTCTCAGGTTTAATGTCAGTGTGAACGAGATCGCATTCATCGTGAAGATACTGAAGGCCGAGAAGCACTTGCTTCGCGATGACCTTGACGAGGGGTTTTGGAACACCCTTCTTCTTGTTGCGTTGAATTAATGCGAGAAGCGTCTCTCCGAGGGGCTCAAAGACAATGCACACGTGAGTGTCCTGAGGAGTGCGATGTTGAAAAGAATCGAGGAACGAGACAACATGTGGTCGACCAGCATGGTGTGGATTTGCAGCAGCTACCTGAGACAAGAGTTTTATTTCGTCGCGTGCAGTCTCAGCATAACGCGTAGCAGACTTGACCACTTTGAGAGCAGAGTAACGGTTCTCGCTAGGAAAAAAAATACTTTATGAGAACATACGTGTGTTCGCAGAACTGGAATACCCACTGAGTATCCTTGACGAGCCAGACAGTTGAAAAATGGCCCCAGCTTGTCGAATGAACAAGAATTGTATGGCAAAAAAAATGATGACTTACCCTAACTTGCGTGCTACGATATACCGACCGTCTTTGAATGTATCATCGATCTTGATGACCATATACCCGCCAGCGTTGTAGTCAGCTGGTGATTCTTCATCCTTGAGTTCCTGGTCTGTGACCGGAACGATCTTCGGAGTGGACGATGTAAGTACGTACTGATATTTAGCGCATGGCTGATGCGGTGCCATGTACTTTGTGAAGGGACGGTATACGAACGGACTCGGAATGCCCGGAACAGAGTGTGACGGTGTTGTCACGCGATGACATACATATGAAAAATCAAAACCTTAATTTCACGCGCAGTTACGGCAAATCTTAATACACCGGCGGTGACCGCACCTATCCACGTTCGCTCAGCGCTGGCTCTGTAGCAGTACTTATATATCTTACTCCAGGGCAGCTTTGACGGTATGCTGCAGGGCTTATCAAATGACTGTTAATATCGCCAGGAAATTTGTCGGTTCCGTTAAAGACGATTGGCAATTGTATAGGTAATACAAACATCTACTGAAGTGAATAAGTTAGACTCACTTCCATTCAGTGACCGTTGCACGGACTACACTATCGGATCTCCCATCGGTTTCGGAGCATCATCTGTGGTTTATGCTGCTGTATACAACCCTCCCTCGCCAGGGCCACAACGCCCTATGCCATGCGCGTTGAAAGTTCTTGACTTAGACGTGCTGCCCCCTCAGTCGCTGTCTTTGTTACAGCGGGAGACACAACTCATGTCCCTGTCAAAACACCCAAATGTGCTACGTGTACGCGGCAGCTGGATGGTTGGCCACAAATTATATATTGCCCTCCGCCTCATGAACAAGGGTAGCGCCGCCGACATAATGCATTACGGTTGGCCCGGTGGAATGGAAGAAGAGGTTGTTAAATGCATCCTCAAGCAAGCCCTCGAAGGCCTCAAGTTAGTCCATTTTATCTCCTTTCCCGTGCTATAATGACCACATTTGCACAGCTACCTGCATATTAACGGATTTATTCATCGCGATATAAAAGCTGCCAATCTTCTTATCGATGATGACGGCACAGTTTTGCTAGGCGACCTTGGGGTAGCCGCATCTCTCACAGATGATGCTGATATGTCCAGTAGATCTTACAATGACACTGGCAATCGTGTTATCAACTTTGACCCTGTGTCTCCTGTTAATAGCTCCTGTCCTGCATCCCCACTTGCACGTCCTGGTATAGGAAAGCGACGATCGTTTGTCGGGACCGTGCGTGCCATTCAGACCCTAGGATGCTCTGACACGAACGTTTCTGAACTATGTAGCCCTGTTGGATGGCGCCCGAGCTTATTCAGGGTCATCGTTACGATTCGAAGGCTGACATCTGGTCATTTGCAATAACTGCTATCGAGCTTACCCAAGGTCGTCCTCCACGATCGAGAGAAAGCGCTCATAATGTCCTTTTGCAAACGTAAGTTTAATCTATTCGTTTAGATCACATTCCTTAAACCCTTTCCAGCGTTCAGGGTAAACCACCGAAGCTTGATTCGGTAGGGGGTGTTCACCGGTATTCACGCGCCTTCAAGGACGTAGTCGATGCATGTCTGGTAAAAGACCCCTCTAAACGGTATTTTTGTCTCCAGCACCTCGTCACCCTAATATCTCATATTATCTCCTTGACAGTCCAACGGCTGCGAAGTTGCTTCTCACCCCATTTTTCAAGTCTGCCAAGAAGAAATCCTATCTGGTCAGCACAATATTAGACGGCCTCCCACCCCTTACAATGCGCCAAGAACGTCGTAGACATCATCCAAGCACGGTTACTCATGGAACAGTGGAATCGTGGGACTTTAACTCTACAGAGACAAATCAATCATCGATCACTTTGGGTCCAGGACGAGATAGTTCAGGGGGTGTATCCAGAAGGGGAAGTCTCGATGTTGGATCAAACGATCACCAGTTGACTCGCTCAGTACATCCAAGATTCGAGCTTTCACACGGTATCAAAGAAGAAACGACGTCAATCATGCCTACTTCAGACTCGACCTCCATCAACGGCCAAGCTCTGGATCTTAAGAACGAGAAGACGGTTGAGTTCGGTTCGCAAGCCCACGCTGGATACGGAGAATCCCGACCTTCAAGTTCGAATTTGTCATTTCCTGCATCGCCACCTGCACATGTGCCTAAGCCACGTCCCATTCCCATTCCAAAGCGGGCGTCACCCAACGTTCGTATTTCATCTTTCTCGTCCAAAGACGGCCCAGCCTCTGCCCCCACCTCTCCCCCATCATCGGTTTCTCCGAAACTTTGGCAGCGCCTAACCCGCGCCGCTTCCCGTAATGCCATAAATGAAGACATACCTACTACCAAAGAGAAGACAATGAGCGGGTTATCACGTATCCTCAACAGACGGAGCTCTGCTTCTTTGGCTCAACGTCCTATCATCTCGTAACTTTTACCATCATCAAGGCTACACTACACTATTACACGGACATTGAATTGTATCTATAGCCAGTCTAGACCTAGGCTATTCATCATTACAGCTGATTCCATACCACGCGTCGAAAATGCCCAGAAGAGGACCCCATAAGCACCTGAGTGGGACATTTGTGGGAGTGCCATGGTGCATTTCACCGCTTACTGTGTGCAAAATTTCTATGTCCATAAAAAAAAAAAAAGACCTTCAGTAATTTAAACACTCCTAAATTTGACAGTACGAACGTTTTCTCTGAAGCGATTTTCATTTACTTGAAAACTGAGGGAGTTGTAGATTTTGAGAGGTCCAAATTGGCGGGTATGCACAGAAGTGTTATACAGCATTGAGAGCATGTGCTACAGTGTCTTTTGTCTATCTCACTGTACTGTGTACCTGCCGCTGTCACTTATACTCAGAACACCTCAGCAATAATTATCACACAAATCTTGACAAGAGGCAACTGCAAGCTGACTTCTAGTGATGTCTATGACTCCATGACAGGACAGTAAAAACAGCACATGATTAATCTCATCCAACAACGAGCTTTCCCTCGGCGTCATTGAAGTCATAAGGAGGAATCTCTAAATTAAGCTTGCAAGATAGTGTCAGTATGAATTCAGAATACAGAGGAAAAACCCCTACCGGAGCAGGTCCCTTCCGGGCACGACCAGCTGCAAATTGAACTTGGTTAGTAAAAGTCTAAGCAAAGGAACCATGGCGGCATACAAATATCGTAGTGAGAACCATGACATGGACAGAACCTAGATAGCGAGACTGTCAAAACAGTCGAGTAATGAAAGGAAAATAACACACCATCCTCCGTAGTCACCCGACTCGCCAATCGGGACACAACCTAGGTGTGTGCAAACGCCAAGCATAACCAGCCATTCGGGCTTCTTCACTCGGTCCTCATCCCTTTGAGGGTCCCTGAGTGCCTTCAAATCAACAGTCCGTGCCTCTTCTATCTCATCGGGGGTCCTGTGACGGATGAACACAGGTTTTCCGCGCCATTTGATGATGACATTCTTGCCCTCCGGAATGCTGGCAAGTTCTACCTCGGTCTTCGCGAGAGCGAGGACGTCAGCCGATGCAGCCATGGTCTCCAGGAAGCCAGTAATAGTGGACTGGGCAACAGAAGCGGAGAGGACACCGAGAGAGCCAACCATGAAGTACGACATGGCACGGTTGGTGGTTTCGTCTTTCGGGGTGTATGGGGTGAAATCAGGCACTTGAGGGGCATCTTTCACTGCAACAGATGTGTGGATGAGGCGCTGGTGAAGATGGGTTGTGGGGGGAGGAGCTAATGGCAAGGGACGCGTTTGGGTCAGCGTTAGTGTTGAGAAGGTAAGTTGAAGCAAGGCGAAAAATTATTACTTACCAACAAAAGTCTTGGAAACTAGACCAACTGAAGGACTCGTGACTGTTCCAGTCAAGCGTGTGGGGACATCAGCACGGGGACCTGCCGCACCATGACCATGGCCATCCGAAGGTGCTCGTACCACGAGATTGAGACGCGGCGCGCTCGGGATTCCATTTGGGAGCGCGCGCACAGTCGGTGCGAGGTTTATAGATTTCCTGATGGCATAGGAAGCCATGTCAGACGATGCTGGCGGTGGTTGCAAGTAACTAGTAACTGTTCGAGCGGAGTATTTTTCTAACAATCGGACGTTTACGGTCGTTGGTCTTGCCCGTACTAGTAAATTTTCGCACGGTCCCACCGATTCCCTTGTCCTCATTCGCTTTAGGTGCGATCAAGCAAATATGACAACCTCCACCGGCAAGGGTACAGATCGGTGTTGCGCTAGGCTCTTGGCCTTCGCGACATGACCGGGTTATTGAAACTTGAAACAGGCCACCAAATTCTTTCGAGAGCCTTGAGGCGTTGGGAGAATACAAGCGGTAGGATCTAGAAATAAATGGCAACGATACACATGTACGGACACCCCACTGGAGCCCCATGATGTTCATAGGATGGATACAACATGCGACTACTTTCGTGTATGATGACCTAGTCCTCGATTCCAGGCACTTTATATCATCAACCCAGTTCTTCATGAAGTTGGATTCAACATGAGCATCTCGAAAGCATTTATTTCCAATTTCTGCTGCCTCGCGTAGCCTCAGCAACAATATTGTTAACTCAAGGGGCTACCGATCCCTTTGGATTGCGTGAGTAGTAAGTACATCCTTCAGATCCGATGAAGAGGGGTTAACTGTTGACTGAGGCTGGTCCAAATAGGCACATGCCCCGACGTGATCCATGCAATCAACATAATAGCATGACGCAGGTGCCACCAAGCCAGTGGTTATTCAGGGCCATTTGTGCTTAGGCACTTACATGGTGTAGATACTGAACGCTCATTTATTTCATGTCATGAATAATTTTGTGTGGTCGAGTCAACGTCGTAGCTTCAGGGACATTGCGTGAGGAATGTAAGACTTTGAGCTCTGTCTTGGACAAGTTTTGGCTGATCACATGTCCTGTGCCTCACGATCGATATGCATCGATGCACTGCGTTATCCATCATGCGACAATAATGTACGAGATATATGCATTTGAGTTTGTTAGTATGTACTCCTTTTACACACTGGAGTACCGTAATCAAGTAAATATGAACGGATAGAACAAAGTATATGTAGAACATAAGTGATATTTAAATTAAAAGATACAAGATGATCAAGCATCGAAACCATTCCTCATTCTCACAGCTCTCAACAGAGGAAGAATGCACTCACATCCACTTTGCTCATGTCCTCCGAGAGGTCAATATGCATCGGGTGAACGGGTTGCTCAACAGTCACAGGGTCTTCGGCGTCAAATCCAGGGATCTCCTTGGCTTTTCATTTTCCCTTTTCGTTGACCTTGACCTGCATGGAGCTAGAAGTCTCCGCGGGAGTGGATGGTACGGGAACGCGTTCAATAGGAACTTCGGTCGAAGTACCTGCAGAGAGACGGTCAAAGATCGACTGGAGCGTATCGCGCTCTTCAAACCGGTACTCTGCCATAACACAGTTTTCTGTCATAGCACAGCCCTCAATCATGTCCTTAGGCAAAGGCTCATCCTCTACGATGATCTTGGAGGTGGGAGTGCGGACCTGAGTGATCATGGTAAGTCACATGAAACAGAGCCACTGGACACGTGAGAACATACAGAAGTATCAGGCAGGTCGAAAGGCTGAAAGGCATTGAGGTATGGTTCCTGATCCGGAGGTAGAAATTCGCTGAGGGAGGCCTCAGCTTCTGCGAGGAATTTCTCGGCATTTGCGCGGTGGCGGGCAAAACCTTGTTCCTCCTCGATGTGGGCCTGCAAAGCAATAAAATGCTGCCACTCTTGCATCCTGCGCATCTCAGCGTGCTTGCGGGCCATGGTACCACCGATTTTCTCCTCGTCCTGTGGCGTACAGGCACACAAGACGTCCATCGTGCGCTGCTGGTCGGGAAATTCATCGTATTCTTGAGCAAGAAGAGCAATTAGGGTAGGCTGGTTCACAGGCTCCTGCTGATACCGCAGAGCCCATGCACGCTCACGTTGCTCTCCAAGATGCTGGGCAGCACGAGTACTAACAGCGAATGAGACTGCGGGGTGGTAGCGGAGATAGCAGTCGAGAGAGTGGCGACTCGTGGAGACAGGTGTAGTGAAAAACATCGTGGTGTGAATGAAGATAAGTTGATGGGAGATGTCATGCTAAGCAGCGATTTTATGTCTAGATGATGTGGACTTGTGGACTGTGGATGAATGATGAACCGCTTTGTGAGCAGGCGCGTTCACTACATTCGATAAAGCGCGATTGTGATTTCCGTAACGATTATATTATTATCACAATGCAATGAACAAGCAACCTTTCACTGTTACTACGGTTGCTGAAGAGTGCTCAAGCGCTCCGTAGCCACTGGTCAAGTGGCTGATGGCCTTCTTGAACCAAGGGCATGACTCCTTGATCATGCGCGGCTGGATGGTTTAAGACCCAGGCATCCTACTGCGAACGGTAAATGAGCCACTACATGTAACATAATGTTCATTTTACTTCCTTGTAGTAAACGCCACCAATTTTGGATTTGTGCCCACTTTCCCGGGCGTGGAAGAAGTCGTTGTAAAGCGTACTCTGGAGGTACATCGGACATGATTCATGTCGGTGTATATTTTAGTGTGCCATCGAACAGTCATTTTGGGTGTGCAATGTGTCATCAGTCATCAACAGTGCAGTTAGGAGGCTCGAGTTCGGAAAGTACCAAAGGATGATGAAGCTTCCAGCAAATATCGCATTAGAAGAAATAGAACTGAATGCTAAGCGGGGTGCGGGCAAAATCAGCCCGAATATTCGTTAGTGTTTGTGTATTGAGTTGTGCGGAGGCGTTTCTTGCCTTCGAGGCCATGGTACACAGATGCGTGGGTAGCAGCATGCTGTAGAAATAAAGGCATAAATGTAGGTATTCCGGACTGCGGTCATGTAGGGCGAGGAGTTAGCGTGAATGTCGGCAGCCTCACGAACTTCATCCGAGATTGAAATTAACGCCTTGAGAAACAAAAGGGCATTATCAGGTTGTCCGTTTGCATCACCATCATCCACTCAGGATGTGAAGTTCCTCGTTACTTGAGTGCTCAGGATCCTTGACATTGAGCTGGCCAAGTTGTTCAAAGATTTCTTCATCAGACTCAGTATTGGACACGCTTGGATTCGCAGGGGCATCAAGATTAAATGGATGCTCCTTCCACCTCTCTAAGAGGTGGTCCAGCTCAGGATAATCCCCTGGGTAGTTCTTGCGTGATTCTACAGCTACGTTTCCATGGTTCGAGTGGCTATCGTCCATGGCCTATCGGTAGGTGGCTCATCTCCAGCGAACAAATTCAGCGGCTGGAGACCGTCAACCTAAGAGAAAGATGAGCAAGTGGAAGTCTACAGACCTGCTGCTGTACTTCTGTGGTAAGAGAAGCTTTGAGTCATTCAACATGGGCACACTAGTGCCGAATAACAGTTTGGATTTTTGGGAGCCTTCGTCCGTTACCATGTAGTACACTCAGTCACTGGCAGCAACTCAAAGGTTTCGCATAAGCATCAAGTGGCCGGGTATAACTGCAAACCCTCGAGGTATTCGAACAGGACGCCACTGGCAGTGGAAGTAAACGATCAGGTTGCAATATCATAACCACAGTTGGTTCGAGCACGTGACATCTTAGACAATCGAGCTTATGAAAGCGTAGATGGCCAAATATAGAAATTCAAAATTCAAGATTACATAGCGGTGGTACTAGTATCAAGTTTTATGCTTCCTCGTCCACCTCAACTTGGTTGGTGCGACCAAGCATATTGTAATGACCACATACATCGTGACATAATAACACGACCGAGTCGTTGAAGAAGGCCACCTATCTCTGGCGACACCCTGGAGGCGTTGAGATTCATTGGGTTGACTCGGAGAAGACCTTCAACGGAACCCGGCCAAATCATCTTGAATGAGTTCGATCTTTGACGGGCGCAAGCATCTGAGCCACCTCCAAGACCTGCAAACGGCGGGATCCAGACATCCCGATGCCCATAGGAACACGAGATGCACTAGCTGGATTGGCTGCTTTCGTGTATTTTGGTCGGTCTAGTCTTTGTTTCCAGGCGCTTATACCCAAGCCGTCCATCCATCCATCCATCCATCCACAGAGCTGTCCCTCATGAAGTAGAGCGCGATCCTTATTACTGTTTTAGTAAGGATACCGAAAGCACTTTGTTTCCCGTTTCTTGTCTCCATATTGGTTAGCCTCAGCAACGATCTGTTCAACTTGAGGCTGCCGAACCCTTTAGAATTGCGTGAGTACACTCAATACAGCCTTCAGGTCCGAAATAAAGTTGACTGCCAATGTTGCCGGAGCCGATATGCCAGGATTCGCGTCTTCAAGGTCCTTTATTAGTGACTCAGAGATGCTCCTTAACCTAAGTGTGGTGGCATCACTAGCAAGTGGAAGCCTGCCCAGATGAAAGATAGCCATCAGGAATGAGTCTTCATGATGCCCAGCAATACTTCCTGATATCATTGTCCCATCACATGATCAACGTGGAAGCAAAACCATGACGCTTTACAAGACCTAGCCGAGAGGCCACTAGACGACATGTACATCTGCAAGCATGAATTATGACCGCTATTGGGCCGGTGATGAGGGGCTTCCTCCAATCCAAGTCCTTGAAGAATATGCATCCCGTTCTGCCCAAACATTACGATTTCACCTTCGATTGACCTCGTACGCCTTGGGCAATTCTCGAATACTACAGGATTTGCACTCAAGTAAGATCAGGATAGGGCTGCTGTGGCATGGATCGTCGATGACCTTGCACTAACGATACATACGCTGATGATGATGAGCAACTTACCCCATTCAAGTTTTGGCGCAGCATTTTCTCATCGTGGCATTTGAGATAAGTCTTTCGAATACATAAGTTGCAGTTACTTCATACTATTTATACTTAGTCGTGATAGACAACTTGCCGATCGAATGTGTGATTTGGGGGACATATGTACTTACGTTCTCGGTGTGGCGGCATGCCGCACGTAGGGCAATAGCCCTCAATAGGCCAATAGAAGTTCTATATTTCTTGATTTATTCGTGTCAATTTTTAACAAGTATCGAGTGTAATAGAACGTAGATGGTATGTGTCTTATTTACATGGTAGTGATGTCTTGATTTGCATGGTTTTTCAGTTTGTGGCTGATGAAATCTAAGCTGCCTGGTAATCATAACTGAGAATATGATATCGCTATCTTACACGAATGGGGAAAATCTATCCTTCGGTGCATCGCATCAAGAACACTAACGCATGTGCTGGTATAAGCAGGAGAAGACACGTTGTCTGGGATATTTAGGCGCCACCCGAAGTCCTTGTTGTTTGGCCCACCGCCTAACAACGTTTGGGTCTGACATGCATTCCATGAGCAATCAATAATACTTGTTGTGACTTGAAACTTACAATCCGTAATAACTCCATCTGCACCATCCTTGAAGAGCTCTTCGGCACGGTCCAAGCCATTCACCTGCAATGGGTGATGTGTGAATATCGTTTATTGTGAAGAAATGAGAAGTGCTCACAGTCCAAGGTACAACTTTCATGCCGAACCTGTGAGCTTCGCTAATCATTTCAGGAGTTGTGAAGTGGGAGGACCCCTCATGGGATGAAGAGGGAATGAGGAATGTTCCAGTGGGAGATAAAATATCCGCTTGTATAGCATGGGCGGCTTGTGCTATCTGCTCGGACAGGGATGGTCCGGGAAATGATTCAAGGCGTAGGCCAGCCAGCCACGGGGAAGTTGAGCCACGCGACGTAAAAGCAGTGTCCCTGAATGGTGACAGTTGGCGTGCAATGTATTGGCTCGAAATTCACTCACTCATCGATAAGAGCAGAAGTTATAAGTTTATCGTCCAATGTCTTCAGCTGATGATCAAAAAAGCAGAGTGAACGAACATGAGACACAAACCTTCATGGATACTAGAGTTCGCCAGTCAAAACTTTGATACTGGCAAGGTGATTAGAGTATGGAGCACTAGTAACAGAGCCATACTCACCGTAATAGATTGGTAGTATGGGCTAGATATGAATATCTCATGTTGCTTCTGGACAAAATCATCCACGCCAGCAGTTCGATTTGGGTATCGAGCGTTGATTTTTGACTCGATGTTCCAAAGCATCTGGTGGGACAGATCTACGCAGGACACAAAGTCGAAGACTTCCCGTAATGTGGGTATCCGTGCTCCAGGATATGCAAGCTGGTGAGCTGTGTAAAATGTTTACGACAATGGTTACAGTTAAAAAGGGAGTATATACGATAATTTGTTTGACGCTTTGATCCACAATCGAGGGTCTTTATCTGAGCCAACGTAAGATTTGATATAAACTTTCCGACATAAGGATATGCGGGATCATCTGGGACCTGTGCGAGTCGGTTAACCATCACAATCAATTCTACAACACTGCTCACCACCGGTGCAGTGTCAGAGCACTTTTCTGGTAATATATTCTCGTCATGCCATACAACGACTTCACCATCCTGTAAGCCCACTCAGAAGGATGCGTGACTCTGAGAAGTGAGAGCTTGCCTGAGTGATGCCGTTGTCTAGTTCGAGTGTGGTGGCGCCGTCGATGAGGCCCCTGTGACGGGAATTCGCTTGAGGTGAATCAAACATCGACCTCGTCCACTATACCATGCAAAGCTCGGTAGAGTGCTCTCGACAACATTTCCTCTTCCTCCGCGATGAGCCTGGGTTACGGTTTGTACAAGCCATGACCTCGAGTGCACTACTGTGACGCACCTGGACATCATAGAACTGATGATTGTTAGACACAGTTCGAAATGGACCCTGAGATGGTGATGCGTAAACCAGAGAAATCTCTGTGAATACGAGGGCATAGACAAATATAATGCACATGATGAAGGGAGATGAATCTATTTTTCCGCCTCAGTCAGTCCATAATTCATATAAGATCTCTCCTTGCTCTCGAATTGCCCACCACGGCATTCGGCAAAACACCGGTTATCGATAAACGTTCAAAACGACCAGTGTCGAGACGAACGTTCAAGTAAAAGATCCCGATGTTTTCCAGCTGCCAGCGATTTGAACAGGTGGCACTGCCAGCTGCAACGTTCACTTCCTGGCAAGGCAAGTCACTGGCCTGCCGGCTATCATTCACTGCTGCTTTTGCAGTTTCGTTACTAGAGTAGCACACGCCATCCTGCGACTCATAGTAACGTGCGTCGGCCCATTGAATGCAAGTAGACGACCGCGGTATCAAGTATTGTTCCGGTGGTGAACTGGTTGGGTAAGAGGAACGTGCGTGATGAACAGCCAACACGATATAAGTAGCTTCATGCCGTAGTGAGTCACGACGATGGAAAAAGCTAGTTTCATACATCGAGCGCTCCATAATCCACGGTCAGGAGATAAAGACCGTGCGCTAATATTTAATGGGGATACTCAGACCTGGAACGGCTTATGAGACCCCCCGGTAGTACTATCCAATGTGTACGGGGTGTAAACAAACCGAAATGCGTTACAAGCCGGCGGGTGACCGGGTCTATAGACTATAGTCGAGTGCTGTTGAGCGCCCCTCTGCGACAAGCTCTGCCGGAGATTATCGATTATTGATCATGCCAGTCTCGCTAATGCCATGAAAAAGAACTTAGGATCCACCACCCCTTCCCGTTCCCCATGTCCATTGCTCCGTGGATATGACATAGACCTTGCTGTCATATGATGGTGGTGTACTCTTGCATTACTACAGCTCGTTGCAACTCACGCCTCAGCCAGATGTTCGTCAGATCCGCGATGTTCCATGGATTTCGTTTTGTGGAGCAGGTGTAGATACATTCAGGATGAAGTGCGCGTTGGTTCGGCGGAATCTCCTTCAAGGTTGGCTAATCCAAGATTCCTCCATTCATCACGCTCCATCAGTCCTCTGCAACAAATGTGAGCTATTGAGAGCACAAAAACAGACGTTGGCATACTTGGTCATTCGACAATCAAGGTATTGTTTGCTCATTACTCTGCACGGGGTGGATTCACTAGAATTCTTGCGCAAGCAAGCCATGTATTGCATCATCTGTTCCTTGCACTCGCCTGCATATTATAATCAGTTAGTCATGTCATGATGAAGACAGTGAGCCAAACCATCATGGTCCAGAGGAAAAGAACCGCGATCTGGAGGGGAAGTCTTGAATCCGACGTTAATTGATGGTGGGCGTCCAAAAGACATGCGTGAGAATGCTTACTTGACCAATACTATGACACAATCAATGGGTAATGCACAACGCACTTCAGAGCTTACAACTCTACATCCATTTCATTCGGAACAGCTGGAGAAAAAGTATTAGCATATTTTCAATAAGCTCACGGTGCCCACCAAATCAAAAATTTAAAATCGACACTGGAACCTTTCCGAGATGAAACATTATGCAAGTGTACCCAAAATGTGTGATTTTTGGACACTAAAATCAAGATCCACCCACATCCCATTGATCTATCATCATAGGAACTTCAGCATATATAAAATACACCACTCTGAATCTACTCCAGGTATTTCTATGGCAATAGAACAGCACCACAGGCTACAGCGTGCTACATGAGTGCAGCGTGACACACTGTCGGCTTAGCTTGGTTGAGTCTCCGCTTCGTTGCATTAGGCAAAATCGGAATTGTCCGTGGCGTTGTGAAACTCGTTCGCTGTATCGACCAATTAGACTCGATTGAGCCCTGTCGGACTTTGAAGCTTTTTGTAGGTGCCGCGCGTGACATAGCGTGACGAACTTGTGCATTTCTATTTTCGACCAACTTCCGCTGCTACCGCTACAACAAGCTCGCAACAAAAAAAAATTCTTGTTGGACTCAAAGAGACCTGAGGTACACCCTAAAGTAGACCCGATACGAATATGTGTTGTCGTCGTGATGTTAAGTGAAAATTGTACATTTCCCGTCGAAACGCTAGCAGGTACGCATTAAAATACTTGACCGATATGAACGAACAAAAAGGAACGTTTCAGCCATATTAGGTTTAACCATAGTTAAAGTCTTGGCCTTACAAGGTACATACAATTTGATACAAATGTGCGAACATGCGGCTACAAAGTCCTGGTTGCTACAAAGTCCTGGCTGCTGCGCTAAACTTATCAGAGATGGGCTGCCAAAACACGCCCAGAAAAAAAAAACATCTCCGTGACATCTATGATCTTGAATATAAGTCTCACACACATACATGATATAGCGTAAACGGCTCAACCTCCACCACGCGTTGTTTTATTTCCCTTCGCGTGTCTCGTGACCTTCTTCCTCGTCGCTGCTAGGATCACCGTCATGACCGCCCCCCTGTGCGGACGAAGTACTTGCTTGTTGTAAATTCCTAGATTGTGAGCCACCAGATACGCCCCTCCTTCTGCTTTTTAATAGCACAATTTCCTTCAACCAGCTATTCTCTCGTCGCAGCTCCGATGCCTCTCGTTCTAATTCCTCCGTCCTGCCAGTCAGGTCGGTAACACTTCGCTCAAGGTTGAGCGTCTTCTGCTTCTTTTTGATCCGAAATCTGGCTAATGGAAGATCCGTATTCAGACCCACGTGTCTGTAATTCGAGATAACCACGAACCTGAAGCTGAAGTATTTCGTCTGCGCTTGTCTTCAGCAATGGCAGAAGCTTCGTCTGCGTTATCACTTGCATCTGGAGAAGCCGATGATGCAACCGCTGAAGGCTCATTAATTGTACTGTGGAAGCCTGAATGTGGGGTCATCATAGCGGGGGGAAAATGTGAAAGAGATCCTGTAGACGACATCGCAAGGGGTAGATTGGGTTGCATGGCTTGGTAGGATACATCGGGAAAAATTGAGGATGTGGAAGGACCTGCCGGGAATTGTCCTTGAGGGTATGGTAACGATTGGTTATGTGCTGTTTGGGGTGGTACAGCTCCTTGCATTGAAAGTAATGCATGTATAAGGTAGTTGTATGCCTCAGGTGGAACATGAGGCGGTGCAGCACCGCGAAAGTGTTGTCCTGTCTTTAAAAACTGTCAGGAGTCTGATTCGGTTAGTAAATCTTGTCAAGTACCCCTGTATTATCGGCGGAATTGTTGCCTGGATTTGATGTATGATCGCCAGTGTTGGAAGATGCTTCCCTCTGTTTACGCGAGTCATCCATGTCACCTTGAAACACGATATTTTCCCAATTGGCGAGCTCTGCTTGTATGTATTCGAATCTGAGTGAATCAAGTTGTTCGTAGGTGATAGAACTGTCCAGAGAATGTGGCATGATGAGAAAAAAGGTCAGCTGCATCATAAGTACCCATTGTTTCAAGACCCAAATCTACCACGAAGCGAGTCGCAATCCCTTCCCATTATTGCGACACTCCTTAGGAGAAGTCAACTGAGTGGTATTATTACGTAAGGAAGGAAAGATTTGAAAAGTCTGCTTAGCGCTAGCGCTCATCGCTCATAGCTGGATGAGACTGATACCAGTCTACCAACGAAAAAAATCTGACCTTGATCAGTACGATGTTGGCCCCACAGCTGCACTCCAGCCAAGCTTAAGGTGAAGTGCATCAGTCCTTCAAGGTGCTGAGGAAAGACCTACGTAGAGCTTAGTCAGCGATGGATATTTAGATCTTGAGGATGTTAAAGTGCTGTACTGCATTACGCGTTCCTCCTACAAGACATCCTACCTCACTTCAATTAGGGAAGTGACATGGTCAGTATTTAGCTCTCCATATATCGCAGGGTCTCACTACCGTGTAGTTGTTGCGAGTCAGGTCGAAAGATGGAAATTTCCGGTTCGAACTTCCCTCAACCGCTGATATTTCAGTGCTCGTGAACAAGGTCAGCGATGTCAACCACTCTTGAGCTTACATATCTTACGCCTTCGAATTTCAGATCTTAGAGACGACTGTGGATGCCGATCCTGTGTCTCTTACGGTCTCGGACCAACCCAGAGGCAATGAAACCCTAGTGTCCACTCTGAAAGGGCGAAATCTGCAAACCCTTGGGCTGAAGTAAGTAAACGCTTGTATTTTCTGTATCTTGTGGAATTAAACAGGACAGGCATGGGGATATGATATTTGTGGGATATGCTACCAAAGTCTCACAAGCTCCCGCAACACCAATGACCATCGATGCGCCAAGCTCAACGCGAGTGCAGTCAAATATATGGGAAAATGTACAAGAAGATGTGGTCGACATATATTGGCGCTCGAAAAACGGAAAAATTCCACGAGATCGTGACGCGCGTTTCTGCAAACATGGCGCCAACGGGATGTGCGACTATTGCATGCCACTTGAGCCATACGATGCTGCGTATCAGGCTGAACATAGCATAAAGCACCTGTCGTATCACGCGTATCTTCACAAGATATCGCCAAAGACATCATCCGCTGCCGCCACTGCTATTCCTCCCCTATCTCCATTATCGTACAAGGTTAAAAATCCTTGTCCCAGTGGCGGGCACCCGCCTTGGCCAGCCGGAATATGTACGGGCTGTCAACCTTCTGCAATCACGCTCCAGTCTCAGCCCTTCCGTATGGTCGATCACCTGGAGATCGCCTCACCGGATATTATAGAACGCTTCCTCAAAGCATGGAGATCTACAGGGTTGCAAAGGTTTGGCTGGCTTATTGGGCGCTATGAGCCGTATGAAAAGGCGCCCATGGGCATCAAAGCTGTAGTTGAAGCTCTATATGAGCCACCTCAAGAAGGTGAACTCGACGGATTGACTCTTGGTATTCCATGGGAGGATGAGCCTCGCATTCGAGAGTTAGCCAAGATGTCTTCAGCTCCACTGACCATCGTCGGTTACATTTTCACGGACTTGGATCCAGATCCAGAAGATAGGACTAAAAGCATATATAAACGCCACCCTCATTCCTTCTTTGTGTCCTCCCTAGAGGCCATCTTTGCTGCCACTATACAGAAGTCCAACCCTACTCCTTCGCGCTCATGTTCTAGTGGAGCATTCGGATCACGGATGGTTACCGCTATTCTTACTGCTACGGAAGATGGAAAAGTGGACATATCCGCATATCAAGTCTCCGAGCAAGCGTGTGCAATGGTAGACGCCGATATGATCGAAGCTAGCGTGGAACCTGGAATTGTCCGCATCAAAGAGGAAGACCGCAGTCAGGATGCGGCACGTTACGTGCCCGACGTGTTTTTCAGGTATAAGAATGAATACAACCTCGAAGTCAAGAAGACTGCCAAACCCTGCTTCCCGGTTGAATACCTGCTCGTTAACGTGAGGCTCAGTAAATGAATGGGGTATTTATATAACTGAGCATGCTTCACTTCATACAGGTCACGCATGGTTTCCCCCAGAATCCATCGCCGCTGTTCCGCTCGAACCAGTTTGCCATCGAGAACCGCCCAGGACTTGAAGACCAACACATAGAAGATGTTCTCAAGACCTTGGCCAGGCTTGGCGCCCCTCAGTTGTCAGATAGCCCCCCTACATCAACGAGCGATGCGTCAAAGCGTCTGGAGCTCGCCAAATGGCTCAGCGATTGGCATTTACTTGCATTCCTTGAGACCACGCAACTTGTATCGAAGGTATGGCATGAACTGTGTCAGTCCACAAAACAATTTCCTGACACCTTGAAGGTCGACATGAAAGTTCTCGTCAGCACAGTGACTTCACCGTCATTGTTGGGGGATCCTTCGGTACTGAATGCACTTTTCAAGACCGAAAGCTGGCAGACACTCATGACATTTACGCGGGAGAGTGCTCGTAAGTGTGGTTGTCAATCACTGGATGCCGTTTCTCATGTGCATCTTTCACCAGCATCTACACCTGCACCTGGTCCGTCATCGTCTCATATCGACGAAGACATTCCTCAAGACGTGTTCGATCAAATCGCTGCCGAAGAAGCTACCCGAAGGGAAGGTTTCAGTGGAGTAGGTTCGGGTGTCAAGATTTGTCCACATTGCACATTTGAGAACCCCGAGGGAGAGACAGATTGCGAGGTGTGCGGGTTGCCTTTGGGCTAATAGTTGACTAGGGAACGAAACTACTGCGAAGGAAGGAGAGAAGTCATACATCACTAGATTGCACAACTGTAACATCAGGAATAATGAAATGGAGAGATGAAGAAAAGTTAATTTTGCAGAGTGTCTCACGATTTTTGAGATCCGAAAAAGTTGTAAAAATGAACAAGTCCACGAGTGACTAGTGAGATGCCGGTCCGGGATCGTATTAGTGAGATATCGTAATGAAAAGAATAGTATTCAACGAAGATCCTAAATCCACGATAGCAAGGGTCCAGAAGTCACCACGCAGAGGAGGCTCTTCATGCAAACACCCACCATCCAGCAAACACAAGACCAACGAGTACACCAACTGCACGAAGAACCAAGACTACGAGTAAAGCCTTGCGAACCGCAGCGTAGAATGTATTCAGTGCCGTGCCCGACCAGTTGACCCTGAAAATTGTTTCATTAACATTAAAATATACCAGATTCCAATGGAAACGCCAAGTACCGTCGGACATTGGAGCCTCCATCGCGTACACTGGCTTCCCAGCCACGTACAACTTCGCGATAACGCTTTCCAAAGACCCTGAAGGAATATCACTTAGTTGCCCATGACCAATATTAAAAGTAGACATACCAAATCCAGAAGTTGACATCCGGATAAGAGAAACGAGGGAAAACACTTGCTAGGCTGGGTGCGACAGCATCAATGCGCATCCCTTCACCCCCTACAGGGTGGAAAGGGAGGTGCAGACTAGGCAAGGCAACTTTGTGCAGATCTTGAGATGTGGGCTGTTTATTGAGACTAGCAGAAGAGGGAAGCGAAGTGGGTGGTATCATAGTCGCCATCAAGTCGAGCGTCATGCCAAGGGAAAGACCCCACAACTTGAGTTGGTGCCGTGACTTTTTTCGGTCCTTCCCAGAAAGCGGCTTCGTAGCTGGAAATCCCTTTTCGAGCTTGTCCTGCGTCAGTGGGGGATACGATCTACTATTTGGGAGTGCTGCAGGGCTACCTGCGGATGAGCCTGATATCGCGTCAGACTCCGGAAGATCGAGTAATATGGCAGGGAACTGCATGCTGCCTATGAGAACTCTGACTAATATTTTCAAGATAGCAGCGCGTCGAGGCGTAAGCCTGGACGCAGCATCCACAGTCACGCTGGACCATCTGCTTTTTGCGTTCATCTTGTCACCTATATGCCCTGGCAAAACTGCGCTAGCAAGAGTCGCAAGCGGCACCCAGTGGATGGTGGTCCCGTCCGTTGGGTCGGTGGGGAGAGGATTTGGAGTGAGCTGTAGGAAGACGAAAGGAGACAGAATCATGAGGAGTCGCTTCCCCAGCGATGTAGTGATCTCTCTATCATCGAGTTGACCTATACAAAGAAAGTCACGCTCTGCGAGGTCCAAGCCAATTTCCTCCCATGTTTGACGCATGGCTACCGTGAGGTCGGGAGTGAGATAAAGTCAAGAAAGTGGATGAAACGCATATACCTGTATAGAGACCTCCTTCATCTCCTTCTTCAGTACGTCCGCCGGGGAAAGCAACGTGAGCTCCAGCCTTGCCGCTGCTTTTCCAAGTCCCATCGCCAGTGAAGTTCTGGAATGCAGATGCACGCCCTGGAAGTGCATCTGAAGGGCCCGCACCATCGCGTCTCAAAAGAAGAAATTCTGGGCACGCGAGAGGGTCCTTGACCCAATCTAACTCGAAGAATTGATTTAAAGTGGGTAGAGGAGTGTCAACCGCCACTGGTATGGTGTTGGGAGGAGGTACGACACGGATAATGATAGCGACAGCGGCCCGACGAGGCTCTGTGGGATACAAGTTCGTAACAGGTCAGAAGATACAGAATACAGAATTCCAAGAGAAAGATCGTACGACTCACGAGTTGCTGGCGAAGCGATTACTCGGGGAGGTGTTGTGCGGATTCGGTGAAGGGCACACGACAACAAACGCACCACTGAGTCCGGTTTTTCTGTGATGGTTTGGGTGTGAGTAATGAGCATTATTTAATTACAAGACCATACCCTGTGCCATTTCGTTACAATACCTTACAGGTCCTCCAAGAAACTAGTAAACACTGAGGTCGTCAAAGTACTTCAAACACTCATGATGCCGAAAAAGGACATCCGCCACTCCGTACGCCGAGACACCTGCCACCCTGTTCCAAGGAGAAGCGCTCATGGACATGAGTTACATACTGCGATCTAATAGGCAGACTATATTATTATCCGAATTGGAAAAGCTCTCCAAGAAAGTTCTATTTACCACAGGATAACATCATGTAGACTGCAGATGGAGATAATTCCGCTACAGATCGCACAGGCAATTCAAGCCAATAATAGTCCTCAGCGACTCCTCGCGCCATTGAGGATCATGGGGACAAGACCGTAGCCTGCTCATTCCACGTTACGAGCAGCGTAGGATCCCCGATGGTAGCACGAGCTAAATATTAATATTGTGCGATACCAAGACATGGCGTTAATGCGTAGATAGAGACCTAGAGATGGTTTGAGTGCCTCCACGAGTCATAATCAATCGATAACGGCCGTGCACCGCTCCAGTCTCCAAGTGGTTTGAATAGATCCCGGTATCACATCTGATCGATGATCTGTAAGGCCTTGGCAGAGCCTTAGCCTAGATGCGATTGGCCGTTGTTGCATGCGAACAGGCTGCAAGCTGAGCCGCGAAGAGAAAAATGGAAAAGGTCAACCAGATCGGTTATTATCCAACTTGAAGGGGCCGAAGCAAGGTGGGAAACGTATCAGCTTAATTAGGTGTGTGACGGGGACGTACTATAGGTCTATGTCAACTCACAACTTCCGACTCTTTCCTGCTCTTTCTTGTTACTTACATTCACACGTCCCTAGTATAAAGGATAGTGTTTCCTATAAGTTTTCGCCATCCAAGCGATCTTCGCCTCCAGTTTCATTCAAGTTAATAATCGCTTTTTCGCTCCTGAGCTAGAACACCAGACGAAATGGGGATGAAGTACCGTCGTTATCTGGCTGGCGAACGCATTTATGGCTGCTCCAAGTGCAAGACCCATCTTGCAACGATCCACTCTATGATTTCACGAGTGCGTCACCACTCTCATCCTTCGTCTCCAGGTCTAGTGTGTTGATGCGGGCTTTGTCAGGCTTTCAACGGCCAACATGGCCGAGCATATCTCTTCGATGGCGTGTGAGCTCTGAGTTCGTACTAACATCGACGCTCATCTCACTGTTCCGATTCCAGTGTTAATGTCATAGAAGGAGAACCAAATGACCGCCAAATGACCACAGGCAACCATACTGTTCGGGATATTTATTGCGTCAAATGTGCCACCGTCCTCGGCTGGAAATATGTACGTCATGACATCTAGACATTTTATTGCATAGTCCACCTCATTTCTTTCTTTTGTCGTTCAAGGATCGTGCATACGAACAATCGCAACAATACAAGGAGGGCAAATATATACTTGAGCGAAATCTTCTCGTCGATGTCCAGTAGCCTCAAGTGCCTCGGTCCTCCATCTACCTGGCTACCACACAACTCCAACAACACGACGCACGATTACAAGGACCCAACGACACATCATATTTGTCGACCACTCGTTGATCGTCCTGGCCCCACCACTGTAACATCATTTCCGTCTTCGAAACCCATCCAGGACTGTCAATTTGTTGCTTAAATCGTTATATACGTAGGGCAGATGCAGATGGCAGATGTAGAAGGGTTGGCGGAGGCATTCGCACCATCAGTCATCATCCTGCCTCAGCCATCGCCGTTCGAATCTTCTTCTGCACGAGGTACGAACCACGCAGCTCACGCACTGTGTGCCTCCTATCGCGCCATCTTGCATCGTGCCACTATGATCCTCTTTATGATCTCCGCAGTCACACGAATCCAAGAAATGTATTCCGTACCCTTCTGTCTCCCTCCTCCGAAACTTATTGTGTACTTACTATCTCATTGCATCCTCACTTAGTCTCGTCCTTAATCGTTTTTTTTTCAATGTGGTTATTTAGAAGCATGGCATATCCTATTCTCAACACACATTTCAAGTCCGTATCACTCGTTATCAAGAGTCGTGTATGGAAATGTTTCAAATTATATCTCACCCTAATATCAATGCATAGATCCTTATTCTGGCAGACAGTGATAGAACTACAGCCGTTCTTTATGTGCCTCAAATCAAACCGCGCTCTAGTGCCAGCGGCGTTCTACCAGGCCGACCTTGGACATGCTAATATGTTCCACGAAGGATGCAGTGATCGGATCCAGAACTTGTACTATTCTGTTCTAGGTAGTACGAAACATTCCCCAGTGCTTTGTAAATGCGGTGTCATGAAACAATCATGCAGTCAGTACACTGCGGTCACACGGGAACTGGGTGGCAAGTGTTTGGGCAAGTGGCAGATCAAAAGCGCGTCTTTTGTCCGACTGTGGCCTTACAGTACATCAGCCAGCTTGTGCACCAATTATAGGGTGTAGGCCTTAGGGTTCGTACGTACGTAGCTTGGTGAACACGCGAAGCCGTGGAAGCCTCTGAAGTTACACACTAGAACTTCGGCCATTTCATGCGGGTGACGGAAGTGAAACCCTTCAGTACAGATGCGTGATGGCTGAGTTGGGGGCATGTCATCGAGACGCCTCGTACGCTAGGTCATGCTGAGAGTAGACTCAGCTGCATTACTACCGGTTTCAGCTATTCTCTTATCACTGTGGGGAGATTAATGTCAGTAAGAGTATTAAAGCTGTTAGCCACTTGAGCAGACGGCGTACTAAGTGCAAGCCGCCTGTGCACATGGGGTAGATAAACGTTGATGCAGTCTCAAGCTAGTGGACCCAAAGTTCGGGTCATGGTCAGCTAAATTTTACTATCAATGATAGAGCCGCCTGACCACGCTGCGAAAATTCGGTATTCATGTTCATGACAAGTACTTTGGGTTAAGCAACAGCTGGACAACATGAATAGTACAATCTGAGAGTTGTTGCACACTTTGGGGTTGTGGTAACGTCACACGGTAATCTAAATTTAGGCAATCCCCAACATGTCGTCGCTAATAATATGGGTTGGAGTTCTCTGCATTCCATCCCCACAGGATTGCAACAAAGTATATAAATACCAGTAAACGACCGCCACGTCTGACGCGACGTCTCCACAATCATTCACCATCCAGGTTCTCCTTTCACCCTCAAGTACTCTTCCAACTTCCAGTACAAGTTCAACCGCCTGCCCTACGGTTCTCATAAATTTTCATCCGCTCTGTTCAACGTAATGCGTATGTTCAACCCTTTGACTACTATACATAGCTGTGAACTGATGTTTTTCACAGCTGCAATGACCATGTCTGCAGTACACCCTGTCCTGAGAGCATCATCTCCGATGCCATACGCTTCTTCACCCCTTGCTGTATCATCTTCGATGCCATATGTTTCTTCACCTCTTGCTGCATCGTCATTGAACGCCCCGTCTGGCTCGTCGAGAGCGTCGTCTATGCGACCATCATTCCCTCACTCTCGCCCTTTGCGACCATTTGTTTCAATATCACAAAACGCCTCGTCGCGTTCATCAAAAAAACCCGTCAAGTTCATAGAACCACCAAAGAACTCCAAGACAGTCTTTGTACTTGACTTGACCCAGGGAGAACTGAGCAGGCAGGATTGAGCCCGCGGGACGCGTGTGGTACTCTTGCACTAGACTGATGAGTGTGCCCTAGAGCCATAGATCGACCACCATTTGGCGCATTACTCCAAACCCTTTCCGACCATGTTGTATGATTGGTGGCTTCTTTTTATTTGAAGTTTTTTTTATATCTCGGTATATAACTCATTCCGACACGTGCAGAACTGCACACTAGCATACAATAGGTTCCTTCTACGCAATATTTTCATTCTACGACTTGCCTTTATCACGATGCGTGCCATTCCATGTTCCACACATACTCCCACCTGTTCAACACTATGCGTATCATTCCACGTTCCACACATACTTCCACCTGTTCCAACTACGCATACCTTATCACAATGGGAAGTTTGTCGTTTGTCTTATCTTTCGGGGGCGAAAGTATCTCAACTGAGCCTCTTTCCCAAGTCACGTTGGGCGAACTACGGCAACTTTTTAAGAAGGCATCCATGTCCTTCCTGGTCACAATAATCTGTGCTTAAGTATAATTGTCACCTGCTTTACCACGGTTGACTTTTTGACAAGCTTGGCTTAATTGCTCACAGCGCTTCAGCGAGTTTATTTTGATAGCAGTGAACAACTTTCCCCTCTTGCAACACATCACATGTGAGCTAATCCTTAATCCTCGGAAGAACCATCGCGCATTATCTGAAGAACACTTGATACAGGTATCACTCCGAGGGATGCGTGGAATCTCCTGCGAAATCCAACGTATGTGCGGAAATAGAGCTTTTCTGCATCATATCAGATATCCGAGTCAGTCCGGATATTATAACACCCCTCCCCCCTTTTTTTTCAGACAGGGACTCGAGAATGATTCAGAATCCACTGTTCTTAAACGACCAGCTTCAAGGATATTTACACATCGCTTGACGAAACTAGCGCAATCACTTGGTCTGGTGACGATATACCAAGTGGCTACCTACTCTGGAAGTTGCGGTAAGTAGTCGGCAATATCATTGGCTTGGCGAAGCGACATCAGCATGTATCACCAGAGAGCTGACCATGACATGCTCTACCTACGAGTACACAATTACCAATGATTTCCCCGTCTTGTGTAGCTGACCCCATATTCATCACCCATTCCCGATCAAAGTTCGAACTGCGGCTGGCGGCAAGACCGAATTAGGATTCCTGCACAATGCACCATGCTGCGGGACCTGGGAAAATTCAACTGCAACCTCTGAACCACGAGTACAAAGTCATTTGGCAGACACTGCTAACACCATATTTGGCACCCATCAAAATCTGATAGACAGCGCGGCAAGGAACGTACCAGTTTTCATGATCGCCCCATCCCGTCCTGACTTATTGTTCTTGCTTTTCCAGGGAAACACTATCGCCGCTCATGCACCCTACCGAAGAGGAGGCGAATTCGCAAACTTTTCGACTGGATCGTTCACTTGGTGGTTCTCCTTACTCAATTCTGACACCGTACTCCGCAATCGGAAATCCACATGACTCATACTGAGTTGACCAGTGAGCCAATCGTTCCGAGACAGCCGTTCGTCGTAGACGTAATGAAGGGAGAATACCTGAGGGTCTAGTCGTGGCTTTGTTTCACGTTCTCAGTTATGCAATCTTCCTATCAGATGGGGTCGCGCCGTGGGCCGGAATCAATGGGCGCGCCGGTATACTGTAGCAGGATCCGAGTCTGGTCCTTTGTTTACGTTCTTCATTAATGCAGGTAAGGGTATGCCAACATCTTATCATGTCGAGATTCGAGAAGATATTATATATGATCAGTTGCCGCTCGAAGACCAACTATATATACCAGACGCTCAAGCAAGGCACAACGTTCCTAATCAGTGAACGTCTGGACGGGTATTGGAAAGATTTGGAAACGGGCTGTCTGGACCAACCATTACGTTTTCGGTGCTCGATTCAGAGCGTACTCCATGGACACGCGCAGAAGGCGTGTCGTCACAATTCCTTCCTTCCAAAGAAGTGATCGGAAAAGGGATCCCGAAGCAACCTGTAGTAGCCTGAGTTTCTTCAATTGTACCAAAATTCATATGTTTGTGCGCCAATCATTACCTTCTTTTCTTCCGACCCAAAATAATTTTCACCCTTGAATACAGACAGCGACAAAAAAACTGAAACTTAACTTTACGACACAGTGAAAGTTTCGGAAGAGGGCGAGCCAATTGGGTAGGAGGTTGGTTGGTATTGTTATTATTACTTCCCACTTATCTCTGTTCTCGCTGGCTAAGGCACGTCTTAGTTCTGGGCACTTGGCAGCTCGTGGGGTGAGGGGACAGACGAGTGAAATCCACGATCCCCGGAGCTGATTAGCGCCCACTCCTGAGTCCTGACATGTCCGAGTCCAGCCTCGTGCCGCCGGGATCAACGTCGACGTTCCAATTAGGATATTTAGCCTGATGTGCACAAAGCAGTTCGGCATAGGTGGAGCAGAGCAGAGCAGAATTACGATGTGTCGGAAATGTCGATCGACGACAAGTGCTGTTGCGGTTTCAGCGTGATTATCGATTTACTCGCGGTGGCTTTATCGGATTCAAGTCAGTCCCTCAAGTTGGATGCTGTTGCAGGAGGCCACTTGAAAGAGCCCCCAGGCTGGACCAGCGCCGCCATGTAATGCCTCAACATCTATTGGATGTGCAGCACCCCGTGGTATCAACAATGAGACAGAATCAGACTCGCTTGCTCACTGTCTACCGCAATACACGTGTCAGAAGTGCAACTCGAGCGTGATTGCTCCCATCTGGTGAGAATCACGATGACTAGACGGGGATGGCTCCTTCGGATAAGATCGAGCACCCGCAGTACGCCAGGCATGATCTCTCCGTAAATTAGCCGATGAGTCAGCCTGATGACCGTGACAATACTTTGACACGATGCACTTTGTCAGAGTTCATCAGACGTCCGTGAAACCTAGTGAGCTTCGATCTTTTTAGGTGGCCCGAGCGAGTGAGTATCACCATATGAAGGCTTTCTTACGATAGAAAATGTTCATTTTAGGTGCCGAAGGATGTTCGCCGCAAAGTTTATAAGGTTTTCACACATTCAATTAACTGGTCGGGGGCCCCATATGCGACAAATTCGTCGCCGCATGTCATCACGAATAAGTTAGACCCGAGAGCATCATGTCGTGACGACATGAACATCACGTCTAAGTTACGTGGCTGAAACTCGGATGGGAAAGTTTCATCGACCTGGTTCTACGTCAGAAAGAACACAGGGTGGATTTTGTCATCGATGACGATAAGTGCGTCCTTACCGTGTATTCGTTGAACCACACTGGGGAGACAAGTACTTTGGCGAGGCTTCCATGCACTCCGTCAGGTGCTCTGTCGAGGATGTTGATACGTAACGTCCCATGGTGGCGGTGGCGCAATCGTATCGTGATTGGTCGTAAAGTCCATGTGAAGGACGGCATCAATACGACCGCAACTTTGGCCTTGACTCGTGGCAGTCTCTGAACTCTGTACTGAGGGCGAGAACACACGACTATTAGTTCCAGTAGTATCTCAACGTCATCTGTATAAATATATACCGCATCAGAACTTCAACTTCAAGTTTCAGCATCTAGTTTGATTACAGGAATTGTATCTGTGAAAGGGCTGCCAGATCCGTGAGCGCGGTTCTCCCCTTCGATCTGGATTGGCGGGTCACGCGACACGAAGTTTTGACGAGCGCCTATTGAGTGTATAGTTTCCAAATGCAGCAGTTCGGCAGTTCGGTTAAAAGTCACTTTTTCGACCTGACAATAAAAGAAAGACAACGATGTGGTTTGTTGATCGTCGCGGGAAGTTACAGGGGTCGCCCAGCTTTATAGGTATCTGATGGCGTTCCTTACCCTCGCAGATCAAGTTGGATTATTTGAGTGGGCCGCGGCCAAAGATGGCCCTGAATTTTGTGGCTCCAAGGCCCTAACTCAATCTCCCAACGGAACAGTGAGAATGATAGCCCCAGATGGGGGCCCTCCTATGACAGACAGTGTTAGAACACGTAGGTAAATCATAAGAGGAGCTGAGCGCCGAACATAATTACCTGCATAATTTTGCGAAACTCGGAGGTCAAATGATAGCCGGACGAGAGGCGCATCTCCAAGAGGTATTTAGTATTATGGAGGACTGTCAATTGTCAGTCGAGGGGCTAATTAAATGGTGGACGGGAACGATAAGCAATTGGGCCATGCATGTGGTTGTCTGACGGCAATTAATTAGGTCGACCGCAATTGTCCATCATCACATTGAATACCTCTTGACACTGCTTTTAAGGGGACATTCGATTTAAGAACATTGCTTTGTAAGGGTGGATGGAGATGTCCGTAGGCGGTGATGTAAATAAATATAATATAAACTTTAAAATTATATTATATGATAAGTATTTTGATGTAAATTTATGGAGTACTTGGAAGGACAAGCCAAGTCGTACATCAACGCAAGTTTCTCTTCTCTCCGCTTCCTACTCCTTTCTCTCTCTAAGTCTCAAAGTCCTTTTCCGCGCCTTTCTTTACGACCATATACGATCTGCACGACTTCCGAATATTCTTCCTTCGCTCAATCCTCATCTCTTAAGGTATCCCTATATACTTGGCACTTTCTCCGGCTTCAAACTCCATTTTCGGCTTCTCAAGGTACACACATCCCCTGTACCCTCTCTAACAACTATAATTCAATTCCGACAACAGAACTCCTGTTCTATCTCTTTTGATCACACTCAAGGTAATCCTTCTTCGCTTGCTTCCATCCCGCTATTATCCCTAATTTATCATTAATAGCTATGGATAGCTGGAGGGTTGCTGTGCTTGGCGATGGTGGTGTCGGTAAAACTGCTTTGGCCGTTCAGGTCAGTCCTCATGACTATTGTTACCCATCCACGCCTCATGTTCCCTTCTAGTTCACTCTCAATTGTTTCGTTGGTAAGCCCAACCAACTACTATGAACTTTCTATTGCAATCTAATGACCTCGACCCTTCCTCCTATATTATGGTACAGAGGTATGTGTTCTTGTTCACCCTCATATCAATTGACTCATAGTTACTCACAGACTTACGACCCGACAATAGAAGACGCTTATAGGAAGCAGTTAATTGTGGATAACAAGATGTGCTTCGTCGAAGTCATCGACACTGCTGGGCAGGGTGAGTACTAGTCGTTACACCTTTGCTATCTCTCTGATGTCCATGCAGAGGAGTACGCCACGCTGCGTGACCAATGGGTTCGGTACGTAATCACTGCGCTCTCTTGTTTTGTCATGTCTCACAATCTCATATTCAGGGAAGGCCAGGGATTTATTCTGGTCTACTCCATCGCATCTCGGTCAACATTTGAACGGCTGGACGTTTTCAGACAGTCGATGCTCAAAGTTAAGCGCCAAAAACCTATCTTCATGCTGGTGGGCAATAAGTGCGACAAGACATACGAGCGTGAAGTCTCACGTGAGGAAGGCATTGCGCTCGCTCGGACATTTGGCTGTGAATTCATGGAAACATCAGCAAGAACAGCATATAACGTCGAGCTACTTTTCACCAACCTAGTACGTGCCCTACGGCAGACGAAACGATTGGAATCTGGTGGATCAGGGGGGAAACAGAGCGACAAGCAACCAAAGGACGGCGGCAGCAAGAAACCCAAATGCGTGGTTATGTGAAGGACATCTTCTCTGGTTATTGGCGACTTAGATTTCATACTCCCTTTACCTCTGTTTGATGATACCTCCACGATTCTTCTGCTTTGTTCTTTTCGCTCGCTTTCGGGCTATCATGGTTTTCTTCTAGCTACAATATCACACGTCCCACTCCTCACGCTGTGACTTACGCGATCTAGTCCGCGATGTATTTTTCAATGCACTGGCAGTTTCTGGTACAGGTTGACAGGTTTGATGAATTTTGTTCCTGGACTACGGAATTGCTGTGGTCAGACTCGGGACATTCCCACTGCCGCTCATTCGCGTGTTGGTACGTCAACGGACACGAGTGCAAAAACGTTGCACATTGGTACACATTACCGTACTATAAAGGATATATACAAGTAAGTCAGGGTGGAGGACATGCACTAATCCTGGATATGACTAGCGAAAACATCAGCAGTACAAGCTATGCCGATTGCAGTACTTGTGGCCCACCAAAATTACACGTGCGCTCACTGCCTGATGGCACAGAGTTTCAAGTGAGCCGCCACGTTATTGAAACATGCGAAGTGTTCCGTACGTATGTCCCAGTCCATCTCGTATTCGAATTAATATGTATTGACCTTAAAGGGAATATGTTTGCATGCTGTGACCACGGAGTGGGTGATAACGACAAGCCTAGGCCCCAGGAAGCAGTTCTCCACTTGGATGAAACGGAGCATGCTTTAGCAACTTTGTTCCGCCTCATTCAAGAACCCCCCGAACCTCCCCCTACGGAGAATCCAGATGAAGCGAGACCTCGTTTCAAATTGCACGCAGGCTCAATCATCCCGTTCCCGGTTCTTCCGTCCATGCTTCATCTGGCTGATAAGTATGGACTTCCGGAAACGATCATATGTTCACTCCACTTGCACGTTCAAGCCAATGCTTCAATTAATCCGCTCCCCGTTTATGCATATGCTACAGCACATGACTTGCCCAAGATTGCAGCAGAGGCAAGCGCCCACCTCCTACATCCCCCATTCTCGTCATACACCAAAGAGGATATACGAATTATTCCCACTGTCACCGCATACCATGAGCTTCTGAGGCTCCATGAATACCGGAAATATAAACTACGAGATATACTGCTCAATGAGGACATATTTCCGCACGGATACGGCACTTGTCCTGTGCACAAGCAGTGGGCCACTCAGCTCTGGGAGCAGAAGCGGGTGTACCTGGCCACCCAAATCGAAGCAGGTATGCAGATCTTGTACCCATCTCAATCTCACTTACTGACGGATGAAATACAGCCACTGATATAGCAGGGGAGATGCGTGACTTGGCTGCCCAGCTTTCCTCTTGTCCCCTGTGTCGGAAAGCTTTGACAGCTGCCCTAGATATGCTCCAGGTACGAAGAGCAGAAGCTTATCACACGGGACCATTCTAACTTTGAAGCATGCAGTATAAATGTCGGAGAGTGGCAAGAACTGTAGATTACGTGCCGCAGGGTTACTGGCTCGATGCAATCTAATAAATAATAGGAGGATATGGATATCTGATGACATGTAAGATAGTGCGCACATGTGTAAAGGAGTCTGGAATCACCGTTAAAATCTATCATCCCTCTATGTATTATGCCATAACAATGTCCTAAGATCAGTCCATACCTCGGAGTCACGGTAAAGGTATGTCATCGAGTTGAACATGCCAGGTTGAATGGCTTCTCCGCGGTGCTGGAACAGCCACATGACGGCACCCCATGATAGAGCCGCGAAGACAGAGAAATACCGCGGGTCTGGCGGGATAGGTTTCACCACAGATCCAGATGCGCCTGCAGGCGCTTTCGAGTACGGACTACCTGCGCGTGGCATGAACGAAGCAATGACCCGGGATACAACGTAAAGGACTATCTAGATGGAAAACCAATGATTTCAACAGGACTAGCACGGACAAGAACTCATTTGAAGTACCTGTTCGTTCACGGCTGATCGATCGCCGAAGACCACATACCCTCCCAACAAGCCAGCCACAAATGTATCCGCGCTACGTTGTTTGCCTCCGTTTGCCTTTCGTTGAAGTAGCAACAGTGTCTTGTAGAGTGAAACAAACTTTGCTAGGTTGAAGGCGTGCTGCTTGGTTGCTTTGTATATAACAAGAAAGCGAGATCTCCAGCTACAGGAGGACAGTGGTCCAGCAGTGAAGACGATTCCAAGTGCAGAGAAAAACGTACTCTCCTCGACCAAAAAGAATGGCCATGATCAACGCGTGAGGGAATCTGACTTTAACTCCGTACACAAAGCCATTACGTGCACCTTTTACGATGGCAAGGTAGTCGTGTATGCGGGGGTCTAATAGCCACTGGGTAATGCTGGACATGGTTGTGTGCCAGCTAAAGACATCGGCGGGGTTTCTTAAAGGAATCAATTGCGTGCCAGTGGAACGCCTGCGGACCGGCGGTACAATCACATGTAAACTGATTCGTACACGATTGTTGAACTTGAAGAATACTGACTACATGACTAAACTATGGTACATGACTAAAATCTATGATCCAAGGAAGTAATCATCCTTAAATGCAAAGTTTGATAGCGAAGACCACTCGAGCTACAAGTCAGGTCAGTAGACGCCGCTGATGGAAAAATCACACTACATACCCCCGATCCGCCTTCAGGGAGGCTGCGAGTGTCCTCGGATGCAGCTCTGATGACCACAAATCGGCGGTAATTGTCCATGAACTTAGGCTGCAGCTCCATATTGATGAGATCCTGAGAAATCTCCCGGTCCGCTTCAATCAGGATGTCAGATTCGCTGGAGTGAGCGAAGCGCTCTATCGAGCTTTTAACGCATTCTCGCAGCACATCTTCTACTTCCAACAGTTGCTGCTCAAGGGTTTCGACAATCCAGGCGTCATCATTATGTTTGGTAGGCGCTTTCGTGACAGAGATGCTGCCTGCGTCTGCCAGGTCCAGAATGGGAAGAAGGCACGAGTCCATACTTTAGATACGTTATTAGTTTAAGGATAATGGTACAGGAGCATCACACTCACCTCGTAATTTCTGGAACTGGCTTATCCTTGCCGCATGCCAGGGCATGGCTCAAACCCACGATCGAAGGTATCAGGTAACATTCCCAGAGGGGATGCTGCGCGAGGTTACGCATCAAACTGTGACATCCAATAGGATCTTCGGCGATAGCCAAAGGCGTGAAGGTGACAATACCACCTTTGAAGATTGTCAGTGACACCGATCGCCCTGCTTTACAAATACTCACCCAAAGGGAAAATCTCGCGCATGCCCCACCTGCTGGACGGAACAGACTCATGTGTGCCGTAGGTGAAAAAGCGAACTTCAGGCGCGTCGCGCCGCTTGGTGACCACAGCAGAAAGCTCGTGAAAAGTCTTGAGGGCTCCGACATGAATGAATATTACCCGAGCTTCTGCGTCAAGGCTAACTGACATAGCTTTGGTCTTGTCCAGTACGTATTTAAGTTGTCGGGTCTCAAAACCAGGATTCAAGGCTGCTCCGTCGGCCGGGAAGGACCAGATACAATATTTCCTGTTTGAAAACTGCATGAAATCCAAGAGCTCGCGTGGAATTGAAAGCAGATCGATAGCCATGGCAGCCTCTCTCAGTATGCGACGACGGCTGTCTTTCGATTGACCACTCGGAATCGATAGCTGCTGTATGGTTTTATCGACTCGGTTACGCGTCGTTCCTGTGATGTATTTGGCAGACGAGATCAGCCATGGCAACAGGGCTACCAAAACATGGGTGTTCTGCGAATTTTGTCGTAGATGCTCTGGTACGCGCAAAAACCTACAAAGGGCATCCAATGATGGGCTGAAAATAAAAAGCAGAGCAAGTTCTGCGCCATCCAACGACAGCGGGAGAACAGCAACCTTTGCCTTCTGTCAGCATAGACCATTAACGGGAAAAAAGACTCACCTGTCGCTGAATTGACATGTAACGAAACAGTCCGTGCAGTGCCTGACTATCTTGATTTTCCAAAGCTTCAAGTCTGGCAAATTGCTGGGCTTCTCCACATGCACGAAAAACCGGTGTGAGATCCGTAACATTGTAGAGTTTTTGGATGCGGATGGAATTAGTTTGCGCCATCATGAAACTCATGCGAGCACCGTTATCGTGCGAATCAGTCGCATCCTTGATCGTCACTTCACAAACTTTCTTGGCTTGATTCTTAGCAAAGTCGACAAATAGATCACCCTCCCATTTCCACTTTTTGGGAATCCTATTCGAAGATTAGAACACTTTTCATATTCGCGAGTAAGCGCCACAAACTTTGGCATCGCAGAAGCTTTCATCGATGTTAAAGCTTTTGGTCGGAAGGAATCAATGTCCTGGGTGCCGTCGCTAACTGAAGGCTCCCTGAACTTTGTCATGAGCATTTAGTGATTGAAATTAGTGAAACAAGACGCACAAAGGACTATTAAGACTTGGCATGCATGTCGTGAGCGCAAACGAATGTGAGTAGCCTAAGATACATACCTTGGCATGTTAAGACTAAGACTTTGAAGAAACTCATCTGCGGCCTTTTCAGGGGCTCGCTTAGGGGGAGCTGGATTCGCGAGTTGATGCTGAATACTAAAAAGCCATCAAATGGATATGTCTGATGATACGCGAGCGCACTTACAGGGGTACAGATGAGGGAGGGGGAGGGTCGTCATCTGCAGCCGCAAACATCTCTGTATTATATTCCCAGCCTGAAACAATGGTAGAGGGCTCCTCTATCATCTGCGTTGTGGCTGAAGACGGGTCAACTCCGACGGGTGTTGTAGTGGAAGGATCAGACGATTCCGCATTAGTCGCCGAAAAAGGTTCATTCTCGAAAGGCTTCTCAAAGGAACTAATCGTGGACAAAGGCTCTTTGAAGGACGGACTAGTTGCAGACGAAGGATCTTTTGCTTCCAGGGGTTTCTTCTTGAATGACAAACCGGTCAGAAGTTTCGGAATTGTCTGCAGTGGCTTCGGCTTGGGTGCTACGGAAGGACCTGATCCCGCTGCTATACGTTGCTTCGTTGACAGAGTACTCCCAGATTGAACTGCCTTCGAGGGAAGATCTATAGTCTTGACAAGAGGGTTGCTCCTTTGATCTTGGTGAGTCCGGACGGTCTGTATTTTGGGTGGGCGAGGTACATTCGCCGATGGTGTGGCAGAAGATGTCGATGGCCTTGGTGGTGGCGGAAGGGGACGAGATGGTTGTTCGGTGAACATAATAGGGGACGGGGCCGCTGATGAGCGTTCCTATAGAGAGCATTGAGGTTAGAATGAAAGAGACGGCGACTATTACGGAACCTTGTCTGCTGTACTAGTGCTCCGGGACTTTGAGTGAGTATATTTCCGCCGCTGTTTCAATGGGCGATCGTCCAATGAATCGGAGTCTGACTACTGTCGCCTAAGCTTCGCAGCACGATGATAAATAAAAGATGGCATACATCTGAACTAATGAGTGTATTGTTACGCTTTTTCCCTCGCGGGGCTGACAACGCCGGAGATCTCCGCTTAAGAGGGATATCGGGCTCTTTTAACCTATGAGTATTTTTCTTGACTTGCTTTGGCTCTAAAGTCTGTTATGTATAATGTGTAAGACAATATATTGAGTATCATCAGGTGAACTCACCTGCTTGATCGGTGGCTTATTCGTATCCTTTTCGCTTTTGCGATTTCCTTCTGAGAACTGCGTCGCGAAGAACTCCTTCTCTTGCTCTGCATACAAGTCAGTTGAGCCACCAAGCACATCAGCCGAGTCTCACCTATCCAATGGTCCTTCGCCGTAATCTCGAATCCGACGGCGTAATCGTCGTCGTCGTCATTACCAACATGATCCCAAAAGCTGCACAAGAGCCGCTCGCATTGTTTTACATTATCTGATGGCTCCCAACTGCATATTGCATTAGAAAATGAGTTCGCGATCAATGAAAAGGAAATGAATCTGACGTGTCTGCATCGGAGTCGTAGCCTGCCCACTATGAATCATTAGAGGACGCAATCAAACGCGTATAGAAACCCACTTTGACATAATATTCCTAGACAACTCGGTTAGATCTTTGTGCGAAGCGCAGTGTCATATACTTACCCAGTCTCCTTCCTCACTGACGCGAGCTTTGGTGATAACCTCTACCAGCAAGGATGTGAATAGTGATAGCGATGAAGGACTGAGCTCGCACCGACGTGGTATACCTCCCGCTCGACTTTCTTCTTACGACCCATATACAAAGGGAATAGTGAACGAATGTGGACAAGTTGTTTTGATGTATTCGACGTAAGCGCGCTATGATTAGACTCCGCTTTCCAAGTCTGGGGTCCTTCCGACTTGCTTGACTCGCACTACCACGATGGCCTCTAAATCAAAGTCAAAGCAAGAAGAAGCTCTTCAATTTCTCGATGATCTTGATTCCCTTAATCCAGTCGCACCAACGACGCGTGGACCCGTTGCTAATACGGACAGCGCAGGAGACCCAGCGGATGTTCTCGCATTCATTGATGAGATAACTCAGAAGAGCTCAGAGCCAACCCGCTCCACGACATCACATATAGAGCGACATGCTTCGCGCCCGGGAACTCCATCACTGAGAAAGAGCACTGAACGAGTTAAAGTCGGTGCTCATCCGTCCTCCTCAACTTCTTCTCTCGTGGCAAAACCAGAACCATCGTCAGCTCCTGTTGCCAAGGCTGAAGCTGAGCCTGCATTGGCGGCTTCCTCAAATCGTTGGGGATGGGGCAGCGTATGGACCAGTGCAAATACTGTTTACCAACAAGCAAGGTCTGTAGTGGACGAGCAGGTCAAGAACCTTCCCAAGAATGAACACATCAGTAAGTTGGGAGAGGGAGTCCTGGAGTACGCAAAGACTGCGCAGCTCGACAAACTTGGTTCGTCTGTGTGCGACGAGTTGATTCAAAGTCAGTTAAATCGTACCCTCTAGGACAAGATTTCAAGAAAGTCGGACTGTCTACATTGACAGACATTCTGAATGTGGTTGCTCCTCCTATATCTGAACACGAGGTCATTCAAGTATGGCTCAGTCATGATATGAAAGGATATGATGGTGTCGAATCGCTTGTATACCGGTCACTCGCTAGGGTACGCACCAAGACATTACGGGTATCCACCAAGCTGATGTTGTTGCTTAGGTCATGGAACAGGTCGAGGGTGGCGATTTGATTATCAACCGAGGTGTCGAATCAAAACCAAAGGAGTCTGCAGCAGGAACTCCTCGGGATTTCAATTCGGTGGACGGATACGATGCTGCTATCAAGCTCGCGCAGGTAAGGGGCCAATGCCAAGAAATTTGCACGCGAGATTCACTTTTCCGTCCAGGCAAATATAGATGAATTCATCAAGACCAATTCCAAAGTACCACCCAAAGAGTTATCTATTCAGAATCCTGTCACATACTCCTCTGTCTACCTCCGCATCCAGCCATTCCTCACATCCTTCACCCTTCCCCAGCCCGTTGATACTTCAGAGCAGTCCGCAGAAACGCCCCAGCAATCTAACCTCCAGTTCCTGCTACAGCTGTCTGATCCCGGGCATAAGTTGGTGCACACGACTATAACACAGGCTGTGCCCGGTAGTTGGTTGCAAATTTGGGATGATTATGACTGGGTGGAAGATCTTGTAGCTGAGTCTCTCAGGGTAGGCATTGAAGTGATTGGGCAGGACTACATTGTCGCACGGATGGGATGGGGTAAGAAGGCAGCCGAGCACCCTACGCCTCAAGAAATGCCCTCTGAACAATCCCCTTGATGTACCTTTCCACTGACATGTTATTGCCCCACTCATGTATTACCTTACGACGACCCAACACGACTGCACTCAGAGGATATGAATGTTGTGTATGTATGTATATCAATCAATAACGTAGTAACATCTACTTCTTTGGAGGCTGTTCGGGTTGGGGTGGAGGAACAGGCTTGAGCTCTGCAGGCCTGATGGGCTCTGTCCCTTGCCCTACTTGTTCCCAGGGTGACAGAGACTCGAAGTTTCTATATATGATCAGGTGATTAGGAAGCGCAGGGATCGAGATGATTCCTGACTGACCGGAAAGCCTGCGTTAATTGCAGAGGTTCGTAAACGACGCGTTTCCTCTCTTCGTCGTAGCGGACTTCAGTGTAGCCCTAAAATGATGATCCTATCATTACGATTAGTGGGTTGTATTGGTAGCTACGCACCGACAATGGAAAGTCCTTTCGGAGGGGATGACCTTCGAAGCCTAAACAAAAATCTATGAGAAGTGCGAGTTATTGCATCTAAGAAAACTTACCATAGTCTGTCAGTATGCGACGCCTGTAAATACAAGGTCAAGACACCGGTTCATATGGATATAGAACGCGACATACAGATCGGGGTGGCCAGTAAAGAAGACGCCAAACATGTCCCACGTCTCCCGTTCATACCAGTCTGCTCCACTGAAGACAGAAACGCTGCTAGGTACAGGGTCCGCTTCACCAGCATAGGTCTTGACACGAATCCTCGCCGCATACTTGACGCTCAACATATTGTAAACCACCTCGAAGCGTTTCTCTCGTTCTGGGAAATCAACGGCGGTGATATCCACGACACTTTTGAACTGACACTGTGAGTGATCTCGAAGGAAAATCAAAACGGGGATGACGCCAGACGGGGAGATGTGCAAAGTAAGCTCATCCTTCAATACAGAGAACTGCTGGACGAATTTGGGGAGACATTGCATGAGGTATGATCCATATGTGTGTAATGACTCGGTTGTCTCAGCATACTTGGTAGCTGTAGGATTCGGAGACGTAGGCTCGGTGAATGGCGAAACGGAGGCTAGAAAGTTGTCAAAACGGTCATCGGTGATTAGGCAGGCATAACTTACCTCTGGACGACGATGACGACTGTATTTTTCGCGTCAAAGCGACGCCAACGGTCCTCGCTGGTCTCTTCGACGAGCTTTTAAGTAGATTTGTGACCCGCAGACCCGTGCGGAACGACATGTTTGCTGGCTACTTGCTCGGTGGGTTCAGACAAACGGTAAATTCACACTCCGATCCGAATCGTGACCGGCGCCGTCAAGTAGACCATGGCTTCACTCATCGACAACGACACTCACAGAACAGAAATATTCGATTCATTACCTTACTATGACAATGATCTCGAGAAAAATCCAATATTGAGGGAAAAAGTCGAGCGCGAACTAGCACGCGAGCCAAAACCACCGCAGACTCTGCATCCTCGCGTTCCCCCTCCAATAGAGCTCTTCAAGGTATTTAAAGCCACCTTTTGATCGTTCACAGACCTGATATGGTGCAGGACAAACCCGAGCTTGCTGCTGAGCTTGCGCGTGTTGAGGCTCATCAGCCTTTAGCACCTTTGGATACCATAAGATATCAACTTCCGGCACCGACGTCTACCCCAGGCACAGATGAGGAATGGCAGCAAGCGCTGAAGAATGCACAGTCTCAACTAGAGCACCAGCGTATTCGGTGGGTTTTTAATTACCCTTTGAGTACTTTGAGTTCACGCTCTCTCAAAGGCACACAAATCTTGCGCTGCTGCAGACATATGGACCCAACGCTTGGAGAATTCACAATTACTTGTTAGAAGCGACAGCCAAGCAAGCAGAGACAGCGCTCGAGGAGTTGAAGCAGCGCACCACAGATATTAACCGAGAACGCAAGAACTCTCAGGTATGTTTCATGTTGATCAGGAGAGCAGTTGTGTTCATACTTGTTTGAAGACGCGAATTGGAAACCAGTTGACATCGTTGGAGAATAAATGGACAGAGTTGATATCGAGCATCCTTCAGATTGAGATGGCAAATGTGGCTCTTGATGCAGAAGTTGACCGACTGAATAAAAAGGAGGCTGAGCTTGCTAGCATGTAACAGTTTGTAGCTTATTAGAAGTACTTAACCGAAATAGGCTAACCGCCGCTCAACGTTGCACTCTGCCCTCGTTTGATATTTCCGCTCGTCAACGACAACGAAAATCTCGTTTGTCTACTCTACATAAAGCTTTTAGGCAAGTCAATAACAAGTTAACCGTGTGTTTTAGCTCATTGTTGTGTATTTTTATTTGATTTCCTTCTCGGCTCTTGCTATAATCTCTAGGCACCAGAAAACTGACTATCGGCGTCTTGGGACGCGTATATGGCCAATATCGACAACTCAAACACGGGGCTAACTGAGAATCATGCAGAAGAGGAACATGTTAGTGGGCTGTTGAGTTCATCCAATGTATCCGAAGAACATTCTGCAGTCGCAGCTTGCGCCCTCAAGACTTCGAGTTCACCTCCATTGATTTCACCTACGAACTCATCAACTCAATCTCGC